ACCCCCTCCCAACTAACCCAGAACTTCCACAAACCCCCTCCTCTTGCCCACCTCCTCAAGAGCTTTCCTCTTCCTCTACGTCTCTTCAGCAACCTTCAGCAACCTTTGTTAGTATTATTTTGGACATTAATTGTTGGGCTAGATGGTTGAAGGCCGTTGACAAACCATCTTTTTTTTTTTCCAGCTCTTGCCCCAAACCCATCTCCTCCATCTCTCACACAATAACACCAACTTTCTCAATTCTCAGAATTTTTCTCTGTCTCGAAGTTCTTATCAATGGAGGCCATTGTTTGCCGCGACCACAACAACAAAGAGAACCTCCCTCCTTCCTCTTCCATTGCAAATCTGACGAACCCCGTTCCTGAAAATGGGTCTTCTTCCAAGAAATGTAATAAGAAGACGAGATTAAGGAGGAAGCCTCTTGTTGATATAATCAATCTCTACATTTACGGCAATCAATCAGGTTTCGGCCTTTCGGGTCATCTACCAAGCGCAACTCTTCCCTTCTCTTCTTCTTCTTCCTCTGTCTCTGGCTCTGCATCAAATTCTCGGAAAAGAAAATCAACCCAAGAGGATAATACAAATTCTAGTAAAGTCAACAGCTCCAACTCCAAGTCTCTGAGGATGGGTTTCAGATAATTTTTCTTATGTGTTTTCTTCCTTTGTTCTTTCTGTAATTTCTAATTGTACACAGTAATTGGAGAGGTCTATAGGGAATTGGGGAGAAGAAATCGAAGGGAGGGGGTTTGGGTCTCATGATTTTTTTTCTCTTTTTCTTCAATTATTTTCTAATTTTGTATTTATTTTAACTATATTTTATTTGTTAATTATGAAAAGTCGTATTTGCCCCTAAAATTTGGTTACATTTAACAGAAAATGTAACGGTTGGATCAAATGGGCGATTAAAATAGAGTTTATGTACCATTTGGACTAATAATTTAATTTAGGGACCAAAATGTAAATCGAGTACAAGTTTGAAGACTATTTGAGTAATTTACCCTAAATGTTATATTTAAATAAATAAGTCATGAAATATTAAAAATAATAATAGGTAGATTATTATTTATGAAAAACTAGGTGCAATAAATGAAATCCAAGTTCTAAAATAGGTAGATTATTATCCAGGAAAGATGGAACAAAATTTCATTGTCAACTATATCTATCAATGAATTTTAATAATAAAATGGATGACTAATTGTATACAAAATTTTTAGAGGGAATCACCTCAATAAATTAGAGAATTAAAAATTAAAATACCACTCGATTACACGTTGAAATATAAATAAGGGTATTTTGCGATAAACTAGATATTAAGCATAATAAGGTAAATTAATGAGTTAGATCCTAGTTATGGGTTTTTACTTATAAAAATGGATATTATTTATAGGAACAAAAAGTGCAAAGTTGCGAGCAAGGCAAATTAAATTTGAAGGGTGTAATGTAAGCCAAATTTACTATAAAAAATATTCATTAGTTATATGCACATGACAAATTCACGACAATTAACAACCAAGAAAACTTAAATTTGATCCATTTTCTAATTTTTTTTTTCCCAAACCCTAGTTGCTCTCTCCCTCTGTGAGTCCTAAAGGAAAAGGAAAATTCCATAGAGGAGGAGTCTCCCTCTGTGAGTCCTAAAGGAAAAGGAAAACTCCATAGAGGAGGAGGAGGAGGAGTGTGTAGAAGAGGGGAAGGAGAGAAGAAAGAAGCGTCACTGCCACTATTCTTTTCTTGTATTTTTATGTTAGTGAATAAGTTCACTGGGGTGGTTTGAATAAAAAGCCTCTTGTGGTGGTTTCTTTTAAACCATGATTAGATTAAAGTTCCTCATCACTCCTTTTAGTCTATGTTCTCAATCAAATCCTACTCCCAAAACCCGCCCCCTGACGTCGCTCATGTTCTTTAAATTTAATTTTACATAGTCTTTGACGGAGGTTGCTACAAATCACCTAATTGTTCTTTGGCAAAGTTATTGTTTTCGTTTATTTGTTCACTCTTATGCGCAGGTAGATTGCTAGAAATTATGGGTGTGGTCGTGATGACGCTTCTTCAGGTGGTGATGGTAGGGTTTGTTTAGGCTCAGGGGTTGATTTAGGGTTTTGGTTATGTTGGGTTTGTGAGCTTTGTTTAGGCTTAGAGCATCCACAATGGGCTCCCTAAACCAAATCCTTAGCTAAAATTTAGGGAGGAATTGAAAAAACTCAACTCCAATCATGCTCTCTATCCAACTCATAAAATATGGAGACCTCTAGGAGCTCCTAAATCTGAGGAGAGAGAAAGTAGTCCTAGTGACTTCCTATAATTAAATGCTTCTATATTTAATATTATTTAAAGCATTTATTTAATGCAAACTATTTTTATTATTGCTCTTGTGTCTACACTTTATTCAAAATTTGAATTAAATTTATTAAAAACATTTATGACTCTTTAAACTAGGGAGTATGATTGGAGTTGAAATTTTATAGAGAGCTCCTAAAATAGCTTTATAGTATTTGTAGCTAAATTTTGACTAAAACATAGATAGCATGATGGTGGATGCTCTTATGGCTAATTGTGGTGATGTGGGCTAATAATTTTAGTGCTGCTTTTGTCCGTGTTAGTTTTGCTTTTAACAAGTTAGTTTGTTGCCCTCTTGGGATTGGTATTTTAGATGTCTTATTGATGTCCTTAATTGTACCATTGAAGTTTATCTAATGAAGTTTTTATTTGATTTTTTTTATTTATAAAAAAGCCAAGAAAAACTTGACCCCCCCCCCCCCCCCCCCCCCCCCCCAAAAAAAAACAAACAACAACCAAAAACCCCGCCCCCCCCCCAAATTCCCAAAAAAAATAATGAAAGTTTTGTGCAAAGAATAATATTTAAAGCAAGATTGGATTTGGGGAGGTGAAAGACAAGATCTAATATATTATTAGGTTATGTGTTGGAAACAATGACAGCATACGCACGAAGTTTTCCTTTATGAGAAAATCCAATGATACTTTTTTTTTCCTGTTGCATTTCTGATCAAGTATATAAATGAAGATCATTTCTCACTTGTGAAAATATAATTAGGGACCACTTCAATTCTTTCTTCATAAATCGAATAATTTATCTTTTTTATTTAATTCCTATACACAAGTCTTGTTTTTTACTTCTTGTCACGAAATTAAAATATTACGTACTGTCTTTCCTGGTGCATATAGTATCCACACATGACTTAATTGAGAAAGTATATGCGGAAAAACAAGGTTCTCTTTTAGTTAAAGAAACTCACTTGTCGATAAATTTTGTAGCTTTTGTATCTTTCCCCGAAGTTAAAGCACTATGTGTTGCCCTTGGTGATGCTTATAAATAACTAAGTGCGCAAATTTAGTAAAATAAAAATATATGTTGTCTCGAAAAAACTATCAAAGGACGGATTAGAAAGTAAACTATGTTTTGTCAAAAATCACATTATAGTACGTTGCGTATAAAGTTTGTGAATACACATATCTTAACAAACTTTATAGTTGGATCCAAGTGTGGGGATTGAATATGTGACATAGTGGAGATAAGCTTCGGTCTCTCTTGCTTCATGGAAACTTTTGATTCTGTCGAAGACGCTAGAAAGTGAAAAATGAAAATAGTAACAGTTAATATTTCGGTAATGCGTTTGAGGAAAACGAATCATTGATAAAGCATATGTTTTTGGGGGGTCACATAAGAACCAAAAAGAAGCAGAGGAAAGTGTGATTTCTTGGCCTCTTTGATCTTCGTCTTGGGCTCACCCCATATTCTTTTTCGGGTATAAGCATAAACGGTCTCTTGTTGTTCCCTGTGCTATCTCTGTGTATTTTGATTTGGGTCTGATTCGGTTTTTCCAAATATTATGAGGAATTTGTCAATTTCTTGGCCAATTATGAACTAGGTCTGTTTCATTTGTTGAATTAACTACTCATAATTAACCACTTAGGATTGGCATTAGGGTATAGTGTGATAGAGTGTATTAGGGTGTAGGGGTATTTTGGTAGTTCAATAGGGTGTACTCAGTTAATTTTAGGATTCGTTTAGTAGCACTCTTATCAGTTTTAAACTAAACTAAATTTGACATATTTTGCATAGATATGACTGGAATAGGATTTTACATAAAAGTTTTAGTTACTTGTGGATGTGGACGGCTAGTTTTTTTTTGTCAACAAAGATATCATAAAAGCCAACCGGCAAAGGCACAAAGGGGAGCCAAACCCAACCAAACAAACAGGACAGACACAACATACCAAAGAACTAAAAACAAATAGGAAGCAAAAAACACCAAAAGAACAAAACAAACGAAGAAACCATACAACAGTATATTACTTGTGGATGTGTACTCAGTTGATTTAGTTTGTTGAAAGCGCGAAAGAAATTAATAAGACATACTTTTCTAGTTACAATTACGTTTTTCATGAGTTGTGCGTCTGTAAAAGGAGTTTATAATTTCTTCCCCCTTAATTGTGTGAGAGCCATAATTAAGCATACATAATCAGAAAACAAAGTTGTGATGGGAATGGAATCGTGGTGGTCGAAGTTTATTTCTGTATGTAGTTTTATTTTTCTATTACTCAATGCCACTCACTGTTTTTTACTTGTACAGAATCAGGCACTTGGCCAGGTTGATGAGTGCTCAGCCTTGCTGCAGTTCAAGGAAAGCTTTGCAATTAACAAGTCTGTTTCTGTAGATCCTCTTGCTTATTCGAAGGTTTCATTTTGGACATGAGAAGGAGATGGGAATCGGAGTAATTGTTGTTTATGGGATGGGGTTGAGTGTGATGAAGACTTTGGCCATGTTGTCGGCCTTGATCTCCGTAGTAGCTGTCTCTACGGTTCTATCAATTCCAGCAACACACTCTTCCGCCTTGTTCACTTGCAGAGGCTTGACCTCTCAGATAATCACTTCAATTTCTCTCAAATACCATCAAGGTTCGGTGATGATCTTTCGAGTCTAACGTATCTCAACCTTTCAAATTCCTTGTTTTTCGGAGAAATTCCATCAGAAATTTCAATGCTATCGAAGCTGTCTACCCTTGATCTGTCTTTCAATTATCAGAAAGTTCATCATAGTATCCCTTTGAAACTGACCAAGGGAAACATGAGAAGTCTGGTTCAAAACTTGACCAACATAAAACAACTTCATCTTAGTTGGGTAGACATATACTCCACTGTGCCTGATATCTTGGTCAATGCATCTTCTCTCACATCTCTCCAACTTGTCAGTTGTGGGTTGAATGGGGAATTCCCAGTAGGCATCTTCCACCTACCAAACTTAGAGGTTCTTGATGTGAGTGGTAACTCTAACCTTACCGGTTATTTTCCTAACTTTAACCGGAGCAATGCCCTCAAGAAATTGAATGTTCGGGCCACAAATTTCTCTGGTATGCTGCCTGCTTCTATGGGAAACCTTCATTCCTTAAATTTTTTGCGCATCTCTCGCTGTCATTTTTACCCCCTTGTTCCATCTTCACTCGGAAACCTTACCCAGCTCAACTACCTTGACATGACTTTATTTAATGACAATCCAAATAATAATTCCACAGGCCAATTAGTTTCTGAATATTCCTTGTCTTGGATAGCAAGTTTAACCAACCTCTACGGTTTGTCCCTTGCGGAAACCAAATTCAGGGGAAAATTCCCAAGTTTTGTGGCTAACCTCACACAACTTTCATTTCTAGAATTGAGTGGTAACGAAATAACTGGTCAAATCCCATCTTGGCTTATGAATTTGACCCAGTTAACTACTCTATCCCTCAGGGTGAACAATTTGCAAGGAGCAATTCCTAGGTCACTCTTCCAGCTCGAAAAGTTAAAGGTACTTCGATTATCCTACAACAAGTTATCTCTGCAGACCATAACCAATTTGAGTGCTACTGTTCCACAGCTTGAATTTCTAGAGTTGATTTTATGCAACTTAACAGAGTTTCCAGAATTTTTAAAATATCAATCCGAATTGCGAGATTTATATCTTAGCGACAACAACATTCAAGGGCGAATACCAAAATGGGTGTGGAATGCAACTAGAGAAACTTTGTTGAATCTCGACCTCTCTTCCAACTTCTTAACGGGATTTGACCAAAATCCAATCAATCTTCCATGGCAGAATCTATATGATTTAGATCTCGGGACCAATATGTTACAAGGATCACTGCCAATTCCACCACAATCAATCAGAAACTATATTGTCCGCAACAATCATTATAGTGGAGAAATTTCGCCATCGTTCTGCAACTTGAATCATTTGCAGATTCTTGATTTGTCCAACAACAGCCTGAGTGGCATGCTTCCACAATGTTTGGGGAACTCCAGTGCTCTTGGGATATTGAAGCTGACGAACAATTCTTTTCATGGCGGTATTCCTCAAATGTGTCCAGATGACAATAGTTTGAAAATGGTTGATATAAGTTACAATCAGTTACAGGGGAAGATACCAAGATCAATGGCCAATTGCACTCAATTAGAGTTTCTTAATCTTGGAAACAATCAGATAAGCGACATCTTCCCATCTTGGTTAGGAGCACTTCCAGCATTAAGGGCTCTCATTTTGAGGTCCAATCGATTTCATGGCATGATTGGGAAGTCTGCAACTAACCAAGACTTCCCAAAGTTGTGCATCATTGATTTATCTAACAACGATTTTTCAGGTATGTTACCCTCTAACTACTTAGAGAACTGGAATTCCATGAAATTTGTTGACGAGAACCACCGACCTTATTTTGAAGTCCTTCCGAAGTTAGACATCTCAGTTAAATATGCCTATATTTATGAATACTCGATCACAATTTTTGCAAAAGGTGTTGAGTTGAAATATATGAAGACCCCTTATCTTCTAAGATTGATAGATTTCTCAAGTAATAGGTTTGAAGGAGAGATTCCAGTAGGTGTCATTGGGAATCTAAGAGGCCTTATTTTGCTTAACCTCTCCAACAACGCTCTCACTGGTCTCATCCCATCATCTTTATGGAACTTGACGGCTCTTGAATCGTTGGATCTCTCCCAAAACCAGCTCTCAGGAAGGATCCCCGGTAATTTGGCACAACTCACTTTCCTTGCATATTTCAATGTATCCTATAACCATCTTTGGGGTCCTATACCACTTGGCCAACAATTTGGTACATTCCTAGAAGATTCATACCAAGGAAACTCAGGTCTGTGTGGAAAGCCATTGTCGAAGAAGTGTGATAGCTCAATATCGCCACCACCATCAATCTCTGAAGAAGATGAAGATCCCGGGTTTCAAATTGCACTAGATTGGTATGTGGTTTTGCCAGGAGTTGTTAGTGGTCTAATAGTTGGAGTGGTTGCTGGGAACTTTTGGACAAGCAAGAATCATGAATGGTTTTTAGAGAAATTTAGCAGGAAGAGGCAGCCAAGAGGCACACGGGGGAGGAGAGGACACAGAAACTAAGTAGTTATTTTAAATCCATGTTTATCTTGCAGCTGCTGCTGTTGTTGCTTTGAATTCTTGTATGGTGTAATGTAAGCTAAATTCGAATTGAAAAATAAAGTTAGTAAACTGTTGTTTTGTTAAAGTTTGTATTTCATTACTGTTGTTTTGTTGAAGTTTGTATTTCATTATGTTGTGTAAAAGTTTGTGAAATATCAATATGTTTGATCCCTTTTTTTTTGACCTGTTGGGGCATGCGTGTTCTCGGGGTTTTTGTTTGTAGTTTTTTGCTGCTTCTATAAATTTAAAAACAAAACAAAACAAAAAAAACATACACACTTAAATGATAATTCAAATGTGGAGATTGAATCATGACATAGGGGAGAGTTGATTTCCAATACCAAAAAGCACAAGGAGACGAAGAGATAGAATAACAATGGTTGATATCTTCAAAACAAGAGTAAATGGCAAAGAAGTTAAAAGCATGGAAACGGGGAGAGAGAGAGAGAGAGATGGGTTTTTAACAGGAAAACGACACGAGAGGAATGAGAGGGAATTTTTAATTCAAATTTAATTTGAAATAGGTCAATGGGGTAAAATAGGAATTTTAAAATTTAAGAAGCGTGTTAAACACAATATTTTTTTTCTTCTGGTAGCAAGCGTGTCGAACACTACAATGCGAATAATTTTGGTTATTTAAATTTCTGCCTCAGATCAAGTAATCAATAATTTTATTTCGGCCCATTTTTTATTCTTTTGGGGTCAATAATCATAATTTCTCATTTTCCTTGGTCTGAAAAATCACAAATTTAATTTTTTTTTTTCTCCCACTAAATCAAAGTTTACCTCCAAAACCAAAAGTTTGTGATTTCCCTCCAAATCTTTCAAACTCAAAACGCTCCATGTCTCTCCATCTTTCTCTCCTCTCACTATTATTCTGATCATGAGAGCACTTTCCTTTCTACCTCTCTTCTTCCCTCCCAAAATTTTAAATCCCTTCTCTTTCTGTAACCCTAAATCCATGGCTTCTTTCAAGCCCTCAATTCCCTTGACCAGCGATTCTGCTGCCTCTGTCCCTTCCACTCGCACCTCCGGTGAGGTACATGTTATCATGGGCCCCATGTTCGCCGGCAAAACCACCGCCCTTCTTCGTCGGATCAAGTCCGAGGGCAACAATGGCAGGTAAATTTCGAATTTTTATGTCTAATCCAAGGTGAATTTGTGGGGATATTGAATAAAGATTGAAGCTTTGGTCCAGGGCAGGTGGATTGATTCTGAATTTTCATTTAATTTTGACAAAGATGAGAAATTTATAGTTTGTTGTTTGTATATTATGTGTAGAAATGTGGCAATGATAAAATCCAGTAAGGATACGAGATATGCTATCGATTCGGTTGTGACGCATGATGGGGCAAAGTTTCCGTGCTGGGCGCTGCCCGATCTGTCATCCTTTAGGCAAAATTTTGGAGGAGAGGCTTATGAGAAGGTAATTTTGGAGCTGTGAAATGTACAACCTTTGTTGGGTTTTTATCAAACTTTCTTTTTATTTTTTCCAATTATACATGACTGAGTGATGTTTATCTATTTGATTTTGACCTTGATTCCTGTAAAATATGTTGTGATATGCTAAAACATTTTGACGATTTGTTATGAGGAGGTACAGTTGTGTTAGTTATGTACAATTTGATGATCTGTAAAACATGTTGTGATATGCTAAACCTCTCTGAGTTTTGATGGTTGCTCTGTAAGATATGGCAAATCATGAGAAGTGGGTTGACTTAAATTAAAGGAATTATTTCATTGACATAGAATGACTTACTGAAATGAAAGAGTTGGAATTTGTTGTCATGGTTAGCATAGGCCAATGACCTAAGGTCATGGTTAGTGTCTGTGATTTGATACATATGAAGTATTCTAATTCCCTTCTCCTTGTTGGGATATGTTGGCAGCTTGATGTCATCGGTATTGATGAGGCTCAGTTTTTCGAGGATCTATATGATTTCTGCTGCATGGCTGCTGATCATGATGGAAAAACTATTATTGTTGCAGGCCTGGATGGTGATTACTTGAGGTGCCTTTCAAATAAACTTTCTAATTTTTTTAGGGGTCTTCTTGCCCGGCAGTTATGCTTGTGTTATTAGCTGCTTTAGTTGGTTTTTGTTTCTCTCTCATTGATGAATGTATGATTATTATTCGCAGGAGGAGCTTTGGCTCAGTGCTTGAAATAATACCTCTGGCTGATACCGTGACCAAGTTGACAGCTCGATGTGAACTGTGTGGCAAACGAGCTTTCTTTACCCTGAGGAAGACAGAAGAGACACGAACTGAACTGATTGCTGGGGCTGATGTCTACATGCCTGTCTGTCGCCAGCACTATGTCAATGGACAAGTTCTCATGAAAGCTGCAAGAACTGTTGTGGAGTCTCATAAATTTAAGAGTGACACCTTTCCTGAAGTAGCTGCAGTTGTTTAGTAACAATAATATATCTTTCACAGCCTATTATGTCTTTGGGTTTGCTATGTATTGTAATCAGGCAATGATTCAGCTTATTGCCTGCTTTTGTAATCTAAACATGGCGATTTGGACCTAACTTGGAGTGTACTTTGTTGCATCTCTTTTCATTATGTTAATAGACTGAAGTTCGCTTTACAAAACCGCTTCTGTAGGTATAAGTATCAATTAAAATTTTAACAAGAAATCGTGTTATTTCTTACAAATTCCAATTTCTCTTTCTTGCAGGATCAATTTGTTAGCCTCCTTGAATTTTTCATTTGCTACTTGTTGAATATATGAACATGTAATTCTATGTGCTCATGGCTGCAAGAATGCACAAAAGCAACAGTAAAATCTAAGAAAGAGATTGGACTTAAGAGGGGAAGAGAACACATGTTGAGCATAGATAGAGCGTGCGAGGCCAATACCAAGGCATCAACACAATGATAGGGCATGAGTGGCTGATACCAAGTCGGCAACACAAAGGAAGAAACAGGGGTTGTGCAAAGGGAACACCGGCAGTGTAGCACGATAGAGAAGGCTCGGCAAGCGTTGACGAGGCTCGCGGAGGAAAGAGAGACGGCTCAGTGAGCGATGACAGGCAGCATCAACAAACAAGGGGAAAGTATGGACACCACGATAGAGAAACCATCAGAAATACATGAGAGAGAGAAACCACAATTGCATACTAGGAAAAGGGAAAGGAAAGGTGTTTGGGCAGGAGAGAGATGAAGCTTAAGGGAATGAAGAGGAAGCATGCATGTAGATAGATATTGGAAAAATGGGGGGCTCATGACACCAAAGAGAAAGAGAGGGAGCGTTGATATAACCAGAGAAAGAGAGAGAGTTCAAGAGGGAGTTCTGATAGAGAAAAAAAAAAGAATGAGATCCTGGAGAGAGAGGGAGAGAGAGGATAGAGCACACGAGGGATAGACAACGGTTGTGCAAAGGGACTAACGACAGTGAAGCATAGCAGGACAGAGACAAAGGCCGGCTAGGATAAAGCTTGGCGAGCGATGACAACTAACAAGGGGGAGAAGGCTCAATCTTCAATAGAGAGCATAAAAAGGAGAAATGGCTCAATCTTCAACAGAGAGCTAGACACGGAGAGAGTGAAAGAAAAAGGCTCATCAATGAGCAGAGAGCTTGACAGGGAGCGTTGAAAAATAAAAGGAAATGGCAGCAGCATAGAGAAAGAAAAAAAAATTATTGATTATAGAAGGGAGGAGAAGATGGAGAACTATACATAAGCAAACACCCTTTCGGGTGAGGAGAGCCAACGACTCTCAATGTTGGCAAATGAAGGATCGCTAATTGGCCTTAGCCATTAGCTCTGATACCATGTAGAAATTGATTTTTCCTTATATTATTCATATGATCATTATACAATATATATAAAGTTTGTAGAGAATAATCTACAGTTACAACAAGTCATTATCACAAACATAAATATGGAGTTATGACCTAATAACAACGTAACTGACAACTGACCATTTTCTATCATTAGTAGGATTAACTATTGTAACTGAAATACTATTGTAACTCCATAACACAATTTGTTAGCCTCCTTGAATTTTTCATTTGCTACTTGTTGAATATATGAACATGTAATTCTATGTGCTCATGGCTGCAAGAATGCACAAAAGCATTAAATTATTCATATATTGATGCCCTGGTTGTAGATGAATGAGCAAACCACTTTTTTCCGGGAAAATTTCACAATGAGCAATTATTCTCGCCTTGTATATGATCATTACTGGTTCTGATTTTCATACATCTTTTGCTGATGCGTGTTCTGCTGCATTGGCCTGGGCCATGGGCTGGGGGCACCCGGCTTTCTCTTTGGTTTTCTACTTCCAAACAAGGAAATCCGGCGGAAGACCTTCAATAATCGACTGGCAAATTTTCTTTGTGAGGCGAAGTTCACAGAACCAATGCAACTTGTCACTTGTCCAAGAGGGTTACTCTTTTTGCTCATTGATCTAGTTTCCTTACCATACGATTTCATGCTATGTGCTGTGGTTGAAATTGCCTCTTTTTTCTTTGAAATGCTCTGCCGTTGAAGGCTTCGCTTCAAGGACATGAGCTCTTGTTCAAGGTTCTGAATTCTGAAGCTTGTTGACTCGTATTCCTTCCTTGATAACTCAGGTCTCTGATTTACATTGTCCTTTTGTAGCAAGAAGCTCAAGGGTCTGCTGCCTTGCTCTGCTCCATCTACATATGGACTATCTCCTAGATTCTGGCTTTTGGAGTTTGGGCATCTGGAGCTTGAGAGGCTCCCAGAAAACTCTCCACAGTGTGCGTATCTGAATGAATCTGAGCATTCTTTGAAAGCTTGGTGAGTACTGATTTGCTGGACAAAAAGTGCCTGGACTATTAAACGAAGCGGCATCAATTCATTTTGAACAGCCTCAATGCATGCCTCTTGTGATAGTTTTTGGCAGTTGAGGTACTTGCAGACTGCCCACTTCTCTTCTTGGGATATATTTGGGGTTGCCTGAAGAACATAAGATATGTTGGTATGAGAACTGACATCTCTGTTGACCAATTTGTTTGGCTTTTAATTAATGTTAGATTGTTTGAGTTGAAAATGTCTTTTTATTACATATTTAACATATCATTTAAAACAAAAAAATTCTGCTAGTAATTAAGTGGATGCTATAGAATCACATTTTTGGCAGTGTGTAGAGTTGATCATAAAGTATTTACCTGTAGGAAGGTGTTCATTACTCTGTAGAGTTTGTCATGACTCTGTCTGTAGGATATCGGCACTCTTTCGATGAGTTCCATGAATCTTTTAGGCTCCATATTTGGATCAGGAGCTATGTAGGAAAGATACGCATCCCACAATTCTGCAACAATAATTGAATGGCCTGCTGAAAGATTATGGTCTGACTCCATGTTAGATGATACGTATGTTGAAATTATGCTCTCCATTGTAGCCAGCTCCATGCTAGAAGAAATTGACTCAGTTTCACTTTTTGGAAAGAGAAAGTCTTCTAGTTGGGCAAAGTGCAACAGAGATACAATCCTCTCTTGCAACTTTGCCCTGCTATCGATTCTCAAACCTACTTCAAGGGATCTAGAAAGGATTGCAAAGTAAAACCCAACTGGAATTGATCGACTAGCCTTCTCTCCCATGGGCAGCAAATCAAGAACACCTTGTAGGATGACTGAAACTTTGTGATCATCCCCAGTTTTCTGACCAGAGTTCTCCCAAAATTGGAGGGTCTTCTTTGAAAGCACCCATTTGTTAGCATAGAAAACAATGATGGGGCTTAAATATTTTTCTTTCATACCTTGTCTTCTCAAGGACCCTATAATCCTTTTAAAGAATCCAAATGGTAGAGCAATCAGATCCTTGATCCAAAGGTCCTGACTCATAATCTCCCTCCCTATCTCACAGCTCCAATTTCGGGTGCTCAATGCCTCCAATGTGAGCACCGGGGTGTCACGTCTTCTCTCTGGATCAAGGATCTCCATGCAAGCCATGAAGGCAAGGCATTCGATGCAGCGGCTCACGATGAGCAAATTTTCAGACCATGGAAGCAAAGTTTGGCACTTTTGGAGTACTATCAGAGTGTCATCCCAACTCTGCATGACCACTTGGTTTAAGTAGAGATCAAAGCGCTCACAGAGGTTGCCAGAGCAGTAATCTTCTGTCATCTCAAGAAACTCTGCTGCACATCTCAGGGCTACAACATTGAATGGATCAATCAATGTGGAGGAGCCATAGATGAACAATGCAATCATCTCAAATGTCTCCGGCCCTCCAGGGAAGTCTGGTGGCAGCTCAAGCTCAGTTGATTCATTCAGTCTTTTCTTGAAATACCCACTCTTTGAAAATAGTGGAAACTGAAGAAGAAAAAAAAATCAGTGAGTGTAAACATTAGGCCAACATTGGACAGTTTCTTTTGAAAAAAAAAAAAAAAAAAAAAAAAAATCAATCTCTGACCTTGTGGAGGTTGAAGATCTTCCCGAGAACTCGAACGCTAACGGAAACAGGCAAACCGGTCTCTTGGGTCCTGAGACAAAGATTCAAACCTCAGAAATTCAAACAAGAGAGCTTAAAGTCAATGCTGCAAGTTGCTAACAAATGTAAATGAAATGACAGCCATGAACCAACAATCTTACTTACCATGACAAAATCTTAATCTTGAGCAAGGCTCCAACGTTCGGTGAAGAGAAAGGACTTGATGAAACAGAACTACCTTTTAATGGGCTTGCAGCTTCCATTGGCAGAGCTCATAAGATTATCTCAGACTGAGATTTACTGAAAGTGAAACTTTGAGAAAGCAATGGCAGTCGATTTTTCTCAAAGCATAGACATGTGCTTTATATCATAATGCTTTTTGCCTGCCCAATTGCCATAAAATGCTCGGAAGTTTGTCTCAATATTCAAAGAAAATTAAAATAGAGTATAGTATACAACTATACACACAAGGCTTCTAGAATTGGCAAACCAGTGGAATCAAATAGAAGAATGATTGAATTAAAAGAGGTGGTTTTTAAAATTTTAATCAAGACATTGTGTAACACACACATTCGTGCAGCTATTTTCTTTTTCTAGTCAAAGTCAAATGCACACGAGTGAAACCCTCTCAATGTCCAAATTTTAAGGCTTCAAAAACGTTCTCGAGTGCTGAGCAGTTGAATTCTTGGTGCTACCAGTCACTAGAATATGGTAATTCTCCACTCCTTTCCATGTTTAGGCTTGCACAACAAGTTTTGTGTCTATGCATGTATGTGACCCAAACTAGCACACCATCAAATTGAATGCAAATCCTAACCGTCCAATTGGACTTTCCTTTGGTACCGATTAATTAGATCAGATCAGATAATTCATTTTCTCAACATCTTGGCTTAGCTTCTCCTCGTTGTGAGTTCAAATCTCACGAACGACAGTTGTTGATCAGAAAGGTAAAAGAAAAAAAAGACCCCACAATATATGAGGAATGCCATGTACCCATGAAAACTCTAGTTAGAAAAGGTGGGATGAGAAGTCATGGAGATTTGCAAAGGATGTGTTGGGAAATTGAAAAGCGAAGAATGAGGCAATGTAAATTGGTAAACTAGTTGAGAGGAAATGATTAAAATATGATAAAGGGAGAAGATGAAGTGCGGGCGAAGCTTTGTGTTTACGTATTATGTGGCATAACAAACACCCAAGACGGCACGGCTTCTGATTGTTGTCAATATTCTGGTGCTTTGGATGAAGGGGTCATTGCTTGCTTTCTCCCAACAACCCCCAACCCCCAATCCCCAAAATTACTTTTACTTTGTATTTCCATGCAACTTTATACTTCATTATATTATATATAGTATATCTGTGTGTGTATATAATACTAAATACATAACATGTTAGACAGTCAATCTGACCGTCCAATAGGTAAATTCATGTTTGAGTGTGCGGTCCTGATTACAATTGCGTGTATACAATTGTCGTCTAAACAAATATCTTATAGCATAGAGGAAGACAGCAAATTGTCATGGACTGAACTGAAGTACCAGCTAAGCTATGATCCTTTTTGCTCAAGCAATACATTCCCTTAAAAGCTGCGGATAATATAATGGTTTTTTTAATCTGTCAAGGGATCGCTGTAATATTATTCTCAATGAGAAACTTTATGTTTTTATTTTCATGAGATGCAAATTCTACGTGAAAACTCCGAAAATCTCAGGGGTGTTAGTGTAAATAACTATGGGAAGAAAGGTAGGTACACACTCCACTGATTTTATTTTACCAGTATGAGAGAGAGAGAGAGAGAGAGAGAGAGAGAGATAGAGAACTATTGCTAAAGCAGTCTCATTGAATTTTTCATAATATTCTCAAAATATTTTGTTTTTAATACAAATTCAACTACACAGCATTACCAATATCTCCATTACTAGAATCTACATTACAGATGTCACAGAGAGAGAGAGAGAGAGAGAGAGAGAGAGAGAGAGAGTCTATAGGCATATACTTGAACAGAAACACCATGGATCAGTTGTGATGGTTCAGAAATGAGAGCCAAACCCCTAGATCATCATCAAATGAGGTCTCGAAAAGATCATTCAGAGGATTAGTTCAATCTCTTTAATATTGGATTTGGGTTCAGACAAGAAAGGGTCCTTGAGAAGATCAGAGGCACTAGGTCTTGCCCTCGGTTGGCCTATGGATTTCTCAATGAACGCCTTCACCTCTGGATCAGTCACCTTGTTCAAGCCTTCAGGCTTAATACCGGCCGTGACCTTCTTGTATATCTTGGCAACAGAGTCACATTCACTGTATGGTATCTCCATTGTCACCATCTCCAGCAAGCACATCCCAAAGGAGTATATGTCCACCATCTCTGTGTAGTCCTCCTCGTATAGCTCAGGTGCCATATACTCAGGTGTCCCTAAAATCGAATGCGCTTCATGGTTCTTACCAACTATTGCTGCAAATCCCAGATCACCAATTTTCACCTATAAATCAAATTCATAATGGTTCAGGCAGGGCCAGAAACTTATGAGAAGGTTCATGAAAAAAGGATAGACCTGAATTAAAATATTGGATTTGCATTCCTATAATATTAATTAGGAAATTGTACATGAAGTGGGGATATAAATTCTAAATTTTGTAGTTCACACCAGATATTCAACTCTTCAATCAAAACATGCAAGGCTCTTTTGGGGTTCGGAAAAATAGATGTACCCCAAAATCACTAAGGACTATATGGTGATGCAGAGTAGAATGTAAATATAGAAATGCTGCAACATCACAAGAATAGGATGGAAAAGTCTGTTCAGTGGAAACATAGAGAAATCCAACCTCATCTTACTGGCATGCACTACTCAGATTCATTTTCCATCTGAACAAAATAGGTCTAAATAATTACCCCAAAACCCTCATCTAACTTATCACTTCGTGTTCTTCAAGTTTACATGAAAACACTATCAAAGATTTGGATTGCATGACCGTAAAAATAAATTGCCTATTGTTAGCTATATATTTGGGAATAGCAGAGCAATTTCATTAGTCCAAACAGATTATAAAATTCATACTGACGAAAAAGAGAGCGACCCAATTTATGCTCACAGAAATCAGGAGAAACAAGTTGATACAACTTATGAGTTATAATTACCTGGCCAGTGTTCCCATTGATGAAGATGTTGCTGCAATTGAGATCTCTGTGAATGATGCATGGCTCATGTGTATGGAGGTATTCCAATCCCTCAAGCACCTGTCTTGACCACTTCTTCAAAGCCCTAATAGACACATGGCGATGCTTCTTCCTGTATTGCCTCAGGTTTCCAGATGTGCACACCTCAGTGATGAAATTCAAAGTGTTGTGCGCCTCATCCTTCCAAACACTGTAACAAACAATGATATACTTGTTCTTCAATGTGCTCAATAGCTTAACCTCTGAGTAAAGCCGGTTTATGAGAGTTGGATCATCACTGAAAGTCCTCAAGCGGACCTGATTCCAGGCCACCTCTGTACCTTCCTCCTGATCAAAAGCCCTATAAACCTTCTTCACAGCACCATGACCAAGGAGATCATCATACCGCCCAAACCGCCCAGTTGGATCAACCTCCACAAATGGCTCAGTATCTCGATCAGATGTGTTTGAGTTCTCGATTGGCATCTTCAAAGATCAATCTGATGAGGTAAAGAAACAGTTAAAGCTCTAAATAACTATACCCTTCACAAGGGACTTCAAATCATGAGACAATTCACCCAAATGATCCAAACAGAAACAGAATAGAACACTAGTCCTACTGCTGTGATGCATGAGAACTAATTAACTCTAAATTTTCCAGCAAATGAGTAACAAATAAAATAATAATAAAATAAAAAAAGATCTGAATGAAGAAATGCAAATGCCACCCGACGCATTCCGCAGGGAAAATTAATTTCTGATTATTATTATCACAACTTGAGTTTCAGCAGCAAAACTGAAGAAGGAATTTTAACCATCACTCTCTACACAGATACACAGGGTCATACAACTATAGTGCAAAATCATCAACAGGTAATCAGAAAATTAAGCCAAAAAAGAACAGTTAGAAATTGTAAGGCGAAGAAAGAAGGCTCAACTGAATTTCAATAGTAAGGTAAAGAAAGATAGCTCCAACTGAATCTTGATTCTTTCTAATTACAGAACTACGTTTTCAGTTACATAATTTCAATCTCATTCATACACAATTATACATGCAGAAACAAACGGAGATAAACTATCAGAACACAAATCAAGCACACAGTAAAACAGAAAACAAAATCACAAAATCACAACCAAAAAAAGAAGTCTGGTTACTACAAAATTAAGCACTGCGTAAAGAAACCAGTTTCTGAGGGTTACATAACCAAATTACATACTTGTGTGCCTGCGTATGTGTATGTATGAATGTAAACTGCCAAGAAACGCAGAGTTTTGAGAACTACATACCAAATTGAAATCAGTGAAGAAAATCAGAGCGAAAGAAGGAGAAGAAAGGCTGAAATTGAAGCGCTAATCATGCTGAAGATGAATTTAAATCCAATTCTTAGAAAGATCGTCAGAAACTGCAAGTGCTAAATGCATCAAATAGATTCTTATGCATGCTAAGCAACGATTGCAGCTCTCAATTTCTCATACATACATACATACATACATACATACATACATGCATGCATACATACATACTACCTGCACTTCAAGAAAGAGAGGAGAGAGAGAGAGAGAGTACCTTGAGATTCTTTGGTAAACGCGAATAACAGGGAAGCTCTGCGAAGCGAAGAGAGAGAGTGAGAGAAAATGGTGGTAAAGGGACGGCTCTATTTATAACTGCATTGAAGCGGGATCAGTTTCTACTAACGACGTCGTTTCGTAGATCGAATAACGACTTCAGCTTCGCTTCTCTCAGCTGTTTTTTCTAGTCAAGTTTCTCAGCTGTTCGTATCGATAATATAAAGAAGGTTACGCTGTTAGAGATTTTATTCTTTCTTTTTCTTTTATTTTTGTTTATTTATGTATTATTTTGGTTGCTTTTCAATTATAAGAAGAAAAATACTTTCCAAATTTCGATAAAAACTCCTACATTCCTACCAATGACAATTTCATATGTGCGTAAATGTTTTTCTTTTTAAGTTTTTTATAAATTATTTTTATACATATGTCAAAATTTGATTGGCAGGAAGAGGAAATATCTCATTACGCCCTGTCAAACAAGTATTCAATTTGGTCAATTAGCAAATAATGTTCAAATTTGTTAAACATTTTGGTAATTTTTTTGGCATTATTGTGCAGACATGGAAGAATCTGTTGGCATGTGAAGCTTGTGAAAGTACCCAACTGTAAAAGTCGATGGCTGGTCCATGAAGAAGTCGAAAAAAAATCAAAGAGCTCTCATGATGGTCAAGCAGACAGAGTAGGTAATAAAAGTAAAATGAAAGAAGTGAGTGACCAAATTAAAAGAGCCTCCCTTACTGCTCAAACTTCACGTAGCACCCGTGCCAGAATCCAGCCAAGATTTTCCAAACACTGTATCTGACCTTTTAGAAGGACTCCGAGAGGCACGGATAGCTGATGCCAACTTCAGTCCATGCAGGTAAAATGGTCTCAACTTTAATGATCAGTTCATAAAAGTTTGAAAGGTTGAGGCAGATTTAGGCAGCCAAGATTTGCAGGTCGATTTTTCGACTACAATGAGTGATTCTAATACAGTCTTTCAACTCCATATTAGATGAGAGGATTATGCATCCTCCATAGACCAGCAAAACCTAATGAATCTATCTCTCTACAGAATGACCAGACAAAGTTCATACCCTCAACAGCATGATAAGACTCTGCTGCAATACTGAAATACAGCAAAACGTTGAATGACAAAACAAACAATCCACATCAACCAAAAGAATCATCCAGCAATGGTACCAAGATTTAATCCAACATTTTGAAACAACATCCACTACCAAGTCATAATAACCCCACTAACAACAATAGCTAGTTACCTTTCAGATTTTTGCTACTCAACAAGTAATAGTTCTCTGTATTATATTTTCCATCAGCGCTTAAGTAACTTTCCAAACACACATATGGATTGGAGCTTAATAACTTTGTGAAGAGGAACACGATGAAATCGATACAACATATCACAATCTAAAACTGAAATACTGACAGAAGTTTGAACAAAACTTATATCCTAAATTTATTGCATTTCATATAAAAGACCTTCAATGGAACAAGTAGTGAAGTACGAAATCGAAACTGACATTGTTAAAAACAAGCATGGAAATCTAGAATATTTGGAGCTTGTTATAATAATCTTCCACTTATCAACATAACGAGAAACAACTGAATTTTTACATATATGGTTAAAACACATAAGGCCTAGACAAAGCATTGATTCTAAACAAAGAAAACTCCCAATTACCAAGGAGGATTAGAGTCCACCCTTGGAGATGGTGATCTTGAAATGATACTAGCATCTCTTCCCAACCTTGACATACTCCTCCCACCTTTAGGCGTAGAAAACCCAGGACTTGTACCTCTGTAACTAGCACGAAGAGTTTCATCAACAGAAGATGAAGACTTAGCAATTGCATTCCTGACAAACTTCTGGGCAGCGGGAGAAAGCGTCCGCACACTCGGACTAGCACTGCCACCTCTAGAGGGCGTTGGCAATGGTGGCTTCTGAAACATTTTTGACCTTTCCCTCAATTTGCGTGCAGCTTCCCTTGACAGTGAGTGAGCCTTTTCATCTCTTACAGGGGGGCATGGGATCCTATAATGAGGCCCTTCACCACCGCCAATATCAATCGGAGTGTCCTCCAGGTCCAACCTCAGGGGAGTCCCTTCAATTTCACCCCATGTAATAAATGGAGATTCATCAACACCCGGTGCTGGTGATGGTGTCCGCACAAAACTATAACCATTCTCCGCTTTCTTCCCAGATTCCACATAAAACGGATTCGGGGTCTTCCTCAAATCATCCAAATCATACTTCTTAAACTTATCCCCATCCCTATCCATAATAACCGGGGTTGCACCTGCAACTGTGGTATAAAGAACCTCAGCCATACCATCCTCCTTTGGCCTAGAATCCAGCATCTTGCCATGCAATCGAGTATTGGCTCGACTAATCTCCTTCTCCAAACACTTCATCCTAACTGCCCGTTCCTCTGTTGTCAACGGGGCCTCACCGCGATCAGCTGGATGGTACATCAGCAAATTCTTTGCCGTAAACTTGCACCCTTCCAATGTAAAGGGGGGCTGATCAGACGTCCCATACCCATCTGTAATCCTATCCCTCTTGGCATCCTCAATCGATTTAACATCCTCCTTTTCTCCTTCTGTCAAATACTCATATCTCTCCTTCCTCTTCCTATTCACCTTCTCCATAATATTTGCAAAACTCTGATTGTCCTCACTCGTATACCGCCTAAAAAACTGGTCGAGCGACAACGAGGCCTCTACCCCATCATCAGCCCCGTTAGACTCTACCTCACCAAACAATCCCATATTTGAAACACCGGGAGTTTTCGGGGTTTTACCATCAAATTCATCGGCAGGGGTGAAACTACGCATAAAAGTCGAACCAGGGGTTCTACCATCAGGGTCAGGATTATGAGTTACCTTCTTGCCGCGGCGCTCAATGATCTTCAACTGGGCATCGCGGATCTGAACCGGGTCGCGGGTCTTGATCGCTTCGAGCCAGTCAAGGCGGTCCCGAAGCTTCGAGATATCGGGAAAGAAGTCCCTTTCGATGATCTTCTCGATCGCGGCGACATAGGTGTCTTCGTCGAGGACTGTGGGATGGCCTCTAGGGTTTCTGGAAGTGATTTGGGCTGAACTTCTTGGGGTTTGGACGGAACTATCGGAAATTGCAGACGGTGAAGGGGATGAGAGGTGGCGAGGAGAGTGACCCGGAGTGAGAAGCATTCTTCTTGAGAATTGGGGTTACGATTTTTGATAGAATGAGAAGGTTAGATTGCAATTGAGTGTGAAATTGAGGGTTTTGGCGAGAATTAAAGGACGAACTTTCCTTTTAGGTTTAGGGTTTGCTCTTTCCTCTCCGTGCCTGGATTGGAAATTGGGGGCTGATTTTGTCAAAAGGAGCGAAACGCGTGCGAATCTATGTGCCGGTGTATGTCCTAAATTGCGCGTACGGTATTTCCCTGGAATAACAAGGAAAGAGGATGGAAATACATTTTTAACCCGCGTGTTTAGTCAATAGTTGAGGAAATCAAAGGCAATGTTTTTCTAAAAGGAATTAAACAGTTAAAACAAAAAAAAAAAAAAAAAAAAAAAAAAAAAAAAAAAAAAAAAAAAATATTATTAAACGTAAATAAATTTGATAACCAAATTTTAAGAGCATCCGTAATGGTGCGGGTCATTGAGCTTTGGACTTGCATCAGTAAAGTTTAGTTCATTTTAGAATTATGAAATGAAATTCATTTCAATAAGCTCACTATAATAACTTTGCAGTCTCTCTCTTATATAACACATATACATATTATTTTACTTTTATTTTCAATTATATTAATTTAAAATTTAAAATTTATTTTTTTTTTTTTTTTTTTTTTTTTTTTTTTTTTTTTTTTTTTTTTTTCAATAAAAAATAATTTTTACTGATTTGTATACTAGCCTCTCTCTATGGAACGACTGAGCAAGAAAATTTGTGGTGGAAGAGTTGTGAGTAAAGAGTGTGTAGGTGAGTTGTATTTATAGTGTTTAGAGTTTATAGTTGTATTAAGAATTTTGCTTGGTTTCAATGTGGTCAAGTCTTTTTGTTTTGGTTTCTATGTGGTCAAGTCTTTGTTTTGATTTCTATGTGGTCAAGTCTTTGTTTTGGCTGGACTTGAAGAAAACAATAGGACGTGTGATGTATTTAATTAACAATGCAAACACTAGTAAAGTGGTTTGGAGTAATGCTTACTCAAGGAAAGGTTATGGGTTCGAGTCCTCCATACTCTAAGACATTGTTAATACTTTCTTCACAAAGCACATGAGCACTTCCAAGTGCTATATACCAAGTTCAAAGCATTATGCTTAACCAAATTCAATTTTGCTTATTCATATTCAATTTTGTTATGCAATAACCTGAAAAAGATGTGCTTTGATGTGGCGTTGATTTATTCTCATTTAATCTCAACTTCCAATTCTTTAGAAAAAAGTGTTAATATAATCTTATCACCAACCAAAGAAAATTTTGTTACTAATTTTTAAAATTATATATTCAAAATTGGTATCTTTTTAAAGATACATTTGAAACCATTTTAATTGTATAATTCTTATTGTAATTAACTTTATTCATTTTATTTTATTTGATTATTTAAAAAGATATAGTTTTTAATTTGTAAGCTATTGAACTGCACCACTGTAAGTGAAAGTGTAGTTCAGTTCAATAGCTACTAAAAAAGTTCAATAAATTGAACTATTAAACTGAATTGAAATAAATTGTTGAGCAAGCATTACGGATGCTCTAAAAACATTGTTAATGCTTTCTTCACAAAGCACATGAGCACTTCCAAGTGCTATATTCCAAGTTCAAATTATTATCTAAATTATTTTGATGTATAGAGAGGTGGATTGAACTCATGTGACACACTGTCTTGATCAATTGACCTAACTCATATATCTTCAAATAAAATATTTCTCGTTAGGTCGTTGGCTATGATAGTGAATCCGCCACCTTCCATCTAAATTCAAATTTCTCCCTCCATAAATCATATTAATTTTTAAAGTAATTTAAATTATGACTTGTATTAAAATAATAATTAATAATTAAATTAACGTCGTTAGAAAAGAACATTTAAACTTTGGCATCAAAGTGATTTTAAAATGGGCCAAGCGCCACGGTTCTATTTACACACCGGAAATGGCGTTATGACGGTCCAAACCAAAGTCCAAGTCCAAGGAGAACCAGCCTATGGCCCGCATGCTTTCCGTGCTTAAAGATTCCAACGGCTTATAACCAATCAAAGCCCCAGACAAACAGGGAACAAAGATTCCTCTCTGCACCTCATCGCAGCCAGCAAATTTCTCCTCCCCCTCTTTCTCCCTTCATCGTATTACGGATTAGACTTTTGGAAAACCTCAGAGCTTCGACTCGTCGTCTCTCACTGCACCCAGCTCCTTACCTTCAGCTCAATCCCCAGCAACGGCGTGATCTACGGCTCTGATTTAATCTAAAGCCGGCGGCTTCACGTGGAATTGGAGCACCTGATCGCGAAATTTATAGGGTTTGTAATTTTGAGCTTCAAAATAGATGGTTTACAGATGATTATTATAATTATTTGATTTACACTTTATTTTTTATTTTTTAAATAATTAATTGACCTGATTTGTTTTGATTTGGTTTTTTTTTTTTTTTTTTTTTTTTTTTTTTTAATTTTTTTTTTTTTTTTTTTTTTTTTTTTTTTTTTTTTTTTTTTTTTTTGCTGCTTGTAGTTAGCTAGCTAATTTAGCATATGCTTTGTTTGGGTGATGAGAAAGTGTGAAAAATAGGGTAGCCGAGTCCTTGGATTTTCCATCTTTTTACTTCCAGTTACCCAAAACTTCTCCTGAACTGAGCTAGTACTAGTAGGATTGTTTGACTCAATAGTTAAATTCTTTAAAGCCATCAACTTTTTGTTTCTCCTTGACTGTGATGGAGGGTATATTCTAAAATTTACATTTCTGGGTAATTATTGAGTGGTAATTTTTTTTCCCCCTAAGAGTAATAGATGGAACAAAAGATTTGAAATTTTGTTTATGGTGGTGTCTCATGCCTCTTTTTGCAAATTTGAAGGTTTTTTTTTCTTCTAAAAAGTGGCAAATTTTGAAATATAAGTACCAGTACTGCTTCTACTACTACTTTAATAATACGCTCAAACCAAATTGAAACAGTATATATTCGTGTATACACCTGAGCACCCCACGCACGAATATGCATATATGTGCACATCCCTTCACATTGATAGGAGAGTCTGCTTTCATTAATTTTGTTTCCCCTGAAAACCATACAATTGTGCTGTTCATGATCTTTGTTCAAATAAAATTAGGTCTTGGGACATTACCTTATGGCTGTTCTGATCTGTTCTGAAGCTAGGAAGTCCTGACCGCCATTCGTGTCCTTACTTTACATGATCAGAGTTGAACAACTTGTGGTATGTGCATCTTTTTGAGGCCGAGGTCAATTGTGATGATGGCACCGTGAGTTGAAGTGCAGGCTCTTCTGTATCTGATACAAGAATCAAGCTCACATGATTTCTCTAGGGGAACCTGGGACAGATAAAATTGCTTCTGATATAGTACCGAAGAAAGAGAGTTCAAATAGTGAAATTCATGCTCCACATCAAACTCCTGATAATGGGATCTGTCCCCTGCAATCAGATCATAGAGGAAATGTTCAGTCTCTAATACCTGAGAAATCGTTACAGCTGCCTGATGATGTTGGTACTGCATCTCAATCAAATCAAGAAGGAAGTGTTACCTCTTTAACATCTGAGAAAGCACCACAAACCCCTGAAACCTCTGCCCTTGTCTTGCGATCTGGTCAAGAAGGAAGCACTCCATCTACAGCACGAGAGAGAGGGTTAGAGGATGGTTATCACTGGAGAAAATACGGCCAGAAACTTGTTAAGGGAAATGCATATGTAAGAAGTTACTACAGATGTACGCATCCAAAATGTCCAGTGAAGAGGCAAGTGGAGCGCACACATAATGGGCAGATAACAGATACTGTTTACTTTGGTGAGCATCAACATCCTAAAGCTCAAGTTAACGTCCCAGTAGCTGTTAGTTTTCTCGTGTCCATTGTCGAAGAAAGACCAGAAGAGCTTTTGTTAACTGGTGTCGAAGGTGAGAATGAAACTTAGTTATTATCTAGTTCTGGTTACAGTACCCAATATTGTTTGATTTTTATTTGATGACCTTGTATTTGAAGGCAAATCATCGGATGTGCATGGCCACACATCTAACCAGATTGAGCCAGTGGATCCCTCTCAGCTATCAACCGTTGCAGATAATGAAGGTGTGCAGAGAGTGCTCTCTCAATCAAATAGAACCAGAGATGGTGATCCAGACTCAAAAAGACAGTATGTTCATTCTTAGCTATTTTGGATTTTCGTGTGTAGTGGTATATAGTATTTTTTTTAACCTTTGTTAACTAACTTTTGCAATAAATTGGAAAAAAAAAAAAAAAAAAAAAAAAAAAAAAAAACAGGAAGAAGGAAAAAATAATGGCAACTCAATTCCGGTGGATAAGCCAGCTGGTGAACCGCGTGTTGTTGTTCAGACTATGAGTGAGGCTGATATAGTGAATGATGGCTACAGATGGCGCAAATATGGGCAGAAGTTAGTAAAAGGCAATCCAAATCCAAGGTACATATCAGTTCAATGGTAGCATGTATTAACTCTTTATATTAGGTGTGTACCTGAATTTTGCCACCCTGCTTCTTGTTTTGGAGATATAATAATGTATAGATCATGGTTTTGATAGATTCACTGCTTATGCAGGCTAAGTTTACATTAAGAGTTTTGGCCTGTGAGCCTAATATTTCTGCTTGATACTTGCAAGCAAGGGGAAGGAAGAAAATTTTAAACGTAGTGATCATTGCAAGTTTGCAACTGCTTAGTAGCATCAAACTGCAACTGCAGCAATATGATAGTATCCGGTGGAAGTAATTTACATGCTTTATGACACCCCTGATCTGGACTAAGGACTTAATTGAGGATATGGTCTAATAGTGCAAACCAATGTCTGGCAAAGTGCCTTAATAGAAAAAAATTCATAAAAAACACACGTTCTGAGACTTTTGTGCCTCCATGGAACCATTTCCTATGCAGTAACTGCCTAGACCAAATAAGGCATTGTTTTCCTTCATTTAACTTGCATATACTTCTGTAGTCTTGTATCTTGCTTTGATGATAAATCGGAAGAAGTAGATCCGATTACTTCTTAGACAATAGGGCAACTGGGTAAATGATTCACTATGCATCTCTAAGCTTTGTTCAAACATGTCCTGCTTCTGGTTTTATTTCGTTTTGTCTTCCTTGGTATGTATCTTGGAGAAGGATGTGGACAAGATTTGTTTATGTTTTGAAAATTTGAAATTAATCTCCTTGGTATTGATTTTTCGGTCCTATTTTCTTTGGTGTAATTTTTTGCTGACTCTGCTCTGCTTCTGCACTTGCATTGCGTAGGAGTTACTACAGATGCTCAAATCCTGGGTGCCCTGTTAAGAAACATGTAGAGAGGGCGTCTCATGATTCAAAAGTTGTTATAGCCACATATGAGGGGCAGCATGATCATGATATGCCACCCACAAGGACTGTGACCCACAATGCAGCAGCATCAAATGTGATTACGACGGCCCGTAATGGTGAGTCTGGCACTACATCAGAAGGGAATGCTGTCTGCCATGATACTAGCCCAGAACACGAAGATAAACCAAACAAGCAACTTAATGTTGAGCCAAGAACTAAATCAAGTGATGTTGCTGGCTGTGATATGGTCGTTGATTCTGATCTGGGTCCTGAAAGAAAATTAAATGAGCAAGTGGTTGGCAAAGCATGTACCACAGAAGAAAGTGATGCCCCCGATATAATTGTTCCTAGGGCCAATGAATTGCAAAATGGCGAGTCAGGAATTAAATCAGAAGGAAACAACGCCTGCATTGATACGGTCGTTCACGGCAATCTGTGTCCTGAAAGTAATTCACCGGAGCAAAAAAATCCAAAAGCAGAACCTGTCTAAAGTTAACCTGCAATGCTGGATCCACATTCATCTAGACCCTAAATAATGTATTAATGTATCAGGACCTGCTTGGTGCTAGGGGTATATCTTATTCTTTCATCCTCTATTTGTCTTTTCGGGAGAGAGGATGCCGGTGGGGGAAGGCACTCTTGGTTGGAGGGTAGGATTTGGTGGAATGGCAATGATGTTCAACTGCAGATTGGAAGACTAACAATAGTTGTGTAATTATTTATATGGATTGAATAAACTCAAAGACGTAGATTAGACTAAGCAAGTACTCAGTAGCACTTGATATCTGATAGCTGTTTTTGTGCACAAACCCTTGTAGTATTTGATTCAAAATCCTGTAACTTGGATATGCTGAAGACCAAACTAGAGCATGCATGGTTACTCCATCATTTTCAATTCTCTTTATTTGACTCTGTTCAATTTAAACTGCCTCGAAAAGAAAAAGAAAAGCAAAAGGAAGAGGAAAAACGAAGCACTTGTGCCGGTTACTCCAACCATGTACAAACCCAATGCCTCCTGAAATCAGTTCTCTCCCAGCCATCCAAACCTAAAGGTCTGATGGCATGAAATGGACACAGAAAACGGCTAACTTCAATTTATGGAAGTGTGCACGGTTGATGGCACCCTTCTCATAAGCAGTTAGCAGCTAATAAGTGTACAAACAGATTGAAAAAGAAAAAGCATGTTCTATTCTAAGCTTGCCTTGCCTCCACTCCAAGAAAAAATGCTTTAATTTGTGCTCGGTTTGCACTTCCAGGCACAAGAAGCAACCAAATCTCTGTTCTTCCAGCCAAGATAGAGAGCTCCATCTCTCTCTTGAAGCCTATATTTGTCAGAGTAGTTGTCTAGCAGTGTCTTGATGGTGGCATTTACCAAGGAGCTTAAAGGGTATGGAGTAAATCCAGCCATTGCGAACCGCAACCTCCATTTCCCAAGAAGCTCATGTCTTTCCACCCTCTCAACGCCCTCGCATGCGATTATGTTAACCACCTCCCTAGCCAAGCAGTGTTGCTCTACATTGATCCTTTCCTTATGATCCCTTGGAAGAGTAACATCGATTGACTCGAACATAGCCGTGTAGTAATTTAGTGTTTCCACAAACCGTGGAAAGAATGCAGCAGTGTTTGTGTTAGATTCTTGTTCAACAAGGGTCACTACCTTTGGAGACAAGCTCTTAACCAACCTCAACAACCGGTCACGATGATTCTGAGTGCTGACACTCTCATCTGGCATGTGGTGCAGCATGAATGCAAAGTTCATAGCCAATGCCTCCCCAGGTCGAACACCGAGATGCTTCAGCTGAACCTCGCAACCAGACATGGCAGCAGCATGGAACTCAAATGGCACTTTGAACAACTCGGCAAGCTTAGATAGCCTGTTCCCTACAATATTTAGTCCTCCTCCGCGGGCATAAGCTGACATGGAGTCGTCGATGCCTGTTATGCGGATGTGGGGTGGTCCACCAGGTCTGGCTGCAAAGGCCTGGATTAGAGTGAGCCACTGACTCCCCTGCCCAATTTGGAAATCAATTATGTGAACTCTATTTTCATCCTTCATGGCTTCTGCAATGGCTCCATTTGCAGACATGTACCCGAATTTGAAGTAGGGGCAAACCTCATAAAGAATATGCATGTAGGAGAGTAGTTCTGAACTTGCTGGTTCTTTGCATCTCAATGCTTTGTAGATGTTACTCCCTGAGGATGCCCTCCGTGCAACTAGTCCTTCCAACAAATATGCTCCCAGCCTTTGAATTGGCTCACCAGAAACCGACACCATCTGGCGTAGTTCATCCATCATCCATTGTGCCAGTAAAAGATCATTATCTGCTACTGCTTTTGCACAGAAGATGAGGACTTGTTTTAAATCCCTTTTAGAGATTGAATCCATAATCTGTCCCCAGCTATCCGTTTCTGGCAGGGTATTGCTAGTCCCATTCTGAAAGGTGCTGCAATAGTTGTCAAGAATATTGGAATCAGGACCTAGCATTACAGTTTCTAACTGTTTCAGCTTGTACTTGAAGTCGGTTGCATCATCGGTAATGCAGGATCCGCTTATCGGAGAGCTATAATTCTGGTCAGGGGAATGGTAGTGGTCAGGTGGTGGATATGAGTGAGAATCTTGCTGTGACATCGGGCTTCCGTTCAGTGAGAAATTGACAGTTGATGGGGAGTTATAGACAGTGTAGCTGCCATTTGCTGCGGAAGACTCCAAAGTGCAGTACTTAATATGAAAATTCTGAGCTGAGAAGACGGTACTTTGGCTGCTCTCATTGTTGTAAAGCACCTGGGGGTCCAAAGTTTGGAACCGAGGCAAGCAGTAGGCTTCTACTTCTTGGACTGGCTGATAACACAACCGGTTCGACATGCCTGAACTTCTGTGATGCTTTGATGTTTGCATTGAAGAATAGTCTGATTGTTGACTTTGTCCGGTCCCTCTATTTGGTGTTATTCAGTCTCCATCTGAGCAGCATAGGAGGCCTTGAATTCTCTTGCCAGAAACATAATCTGTATGACAACAAGAAACCTTGGTTACACTGATATCTGGAACAAAGAGGGCAAAACACAGCATAATCTGCAGGAAAACCATAAGGGACAATTTTAGCCTAGTGTAGGATAGCCTAATTGTTCTCTGACAATTCTAGTTCTTGTTTTCAATTCTCGATTTCTATGTCCTTTAAAATATTTGTACCAGAAAATACTGGTAAATATATATTTTTTTTATCAAACTGGGAAAAATTCAATGTAAGCTATTTACAACAGAGAATATTACCTAGATAAGCAGAGAAAAAAATATATAAAATTCTAAAATGGTATACACGAAAAGTGATCAACTATAGGTGGCCAATCTCCATAAATATGATCAAACAATTAAAGAAATAAAAAAGTTTTGCCAACCATAGATTTGAATTGATAATGATCACAAAATTTCTGGTGTAATATAGCTCGACCAATTTAATGATCTTGCGTTGCCGCATTCTTTCCATTTCGAAAGTGAAAAGAAGTATGTATGAGCCTCTCCAACCAAATGCATCTCGGAAGAAATTGCCATGATGAATTCGAATGCAGACTTTCATTTCAAAATCAGCAAAGGAAGTAAATAATGACCAATCAATATGCTCAGAAAAACATAAAGCGCTTAATCTTGGGCTCCAACACCAACAAATTGGAATCCAAATTTTCGTACTGTGAGAAACCCATTTGTTTCAAGCCAATGATAAAGTTTGATGCTTTCCACAAACATTCAAATCATAAAAAAGGGTCACCAAATCTCAAACAGAAACAAGAACATGAAACAACAATATGCCTTGTAAAAGCCATTTCAAACTTCAAGCGCCAGTCTTTCCAGCCAAAAACAGAGAACATGAAAACAGAGCATCATAGAATCCACCAAAAAGAAAACAAAACTCATATCTGACATACCTTGAAGAAACATCACCAACCCATTTTGAGCAATAGAGAATCATCCATGGCAACACTACTTAAAGCTCAAAATTTTCCCAAAAAAATGACTAGTGTAACAAGACCACTATTACAAATGAAAAACAGAGAATTTGAGTGGAAAATTAATAAATGCTAGACCGTTTGTTTGACAAAGAATTCCAACTTTGAAAACATTAAGTCTTGTTGACAGGAATACCTTGGTTGAATGAATTTGAAGCTTGAAATTGCACTGTATACCAGAGTCTTTTATGAGAGTGGGGGAGTGACTTGGTGAGAGAGACAAGAGAGAGCAAGGTCCTCTTTAGAGAAATTCCCACCTGTGGGACTATAAAAAATTCTCAATGAAAACAAGCCCTATAATTGATACAAAATTACATAATTACCACTAGGATTTGTTTGCAAGTTCCCGCATTTGGGTCTAGGGGAAGTTGCAGAAAAACCCCTTTATTACAACCACCCTGTGCTCCCCAAGCCTCTCCAACCCAACAACATAAAAAAACCCAAAAAAGAAATAGATGTACAAACCTAACCTGACCAGCATTTCCTTAAACAAAGTACATAAATATTGCCAGTAGAGTATAACTCAGTTGGTTGAATTTTTCTAGCTCCACTTATGCGCGCAGAGGTTCGAGGCACCTAATTAAATATTTGTGTAAACCCCCCTCATTCAATCGCTTGTACCAAAAAAAATTACAGAAATATTTATTTAGTTAATTTAACGCTACCTTCACAAATGAGCTAGAGTTTTCTAGCTTAAAATAGTACAACTGAGATCTTTTCATGTAGATACTATGATATGAAGACCAATATACCCTTTGATTAGCAAGATATGTTAGAATCTGTGTAGATCATTATTAGCTGCTAAACATCATATTAGTTTATGTTAACACAACCCATTTGACGCGCTTAAATTTGAATTCCCCATTATAGATATGACTCTGAGCTGGTTTAATTTCCTTCTCACCACAAACACATGGAGAGCAAGTCAGCATGACATCATGCCCAAGAGGTTCTGGATGATCTCATCATCAACTAATCCAACGGCTAAAATTAATTGAGTTTTGTAGTTGGTCCTTCAAGTAAGCCAGCCTTGCTCCTCATCACTTGCAGCTTGCTTGTGCATGTGACAGAAGGTACCTAGAAACTTGGTTAAAACTGACTAAGGGTGTAATGGTCAGTTGAAGCAATTTAAGAAAACCTGTTTGGTAGCCATATTTTTAAGATTTGAAAACAATTTTCAAGTTGCATACCAAATAAATTTTTGAATCTTAAAAATAGATTTAAGAACTCCTTGTTTTTAAGAAAAATCAAAGGTTTTGAGTTCTCTATTTGAATAGGATACCAAACACTCCCTCAATTTATTTTTTTATTTTTTTTTTGGAACCGAAAATTCAGTTGAATTTAGGTTTGGTTTTTGAAGTAGATGGGTCCTGATCTGGTTATCTGAGATAGTGACATACGCGGTTGAGCGTAGAGCCGGGCCGAGAGAAGAAGAGAACGTTATTATGGTAAAATTAAAGTCGCACATTTAGATGACGTAGGAAAATAGTGCCTTCCACTTCAGCTAACACGCTCCGCCTTTTTTATCTTCCCTTTCCTGGTTCCATTCATCCCATCTGTAAATTTGATTTATTGTATTCTATTATGCTGATTCTTTTTCTTTTTCTTAAGACCAAGTTGCTCTTATACTATAATTGTATTTTGTAGACCACTTTTATGGGAATTCTTCTGGTCTATTTCTTTTGACATTGATGCGAATTTATACTCGCATCAATAAAATCTTGACGGAAAAATACTTGTTTTCTTCTTTGGAAGTAGAAGCTCCTACTTCTCTGCCAATCACAGGTCGACATGTGTGTAGAGATTTTTCTTTTGATATCTTTAATGAATTATTTTTGCATATATATCAAACTGTAATTTGCAGGAAGTAGGAATGCCGCAATATCCTATCTTGACACTATTTGAGCAATATTATGTATTGGTTTATAATTCATAAACCCTACTAGGGAAGGAAAGAATATAAAAAATTGGAGCACATTTTACTTCTCCTCTTCCTCATTGTTGGTACTTGGTATTTGAGGTACTTGTTTCAGTCAATCACTTTATGCGCATGCCAATATATAATAGTAAGATACAAATGTTTTTTATTTTATTTTAAAAGTAATAAGAAGATGAGGGCAGCAGAAATCTCACAAAATTCTTATTCTAGAAGAAGCATAAATTAATTGACGAATCAAAGAAGGGTTATTTGGGTCACCCTAGAAGAATTTCAGGCCTTGAATCCCATGTATCGATGTATAAGTGATTATTCTCAGCCTTAAACATATATATGTTTAATTTGCAGAATCAAAATCTAATTAAAAGGGAATCTTTTTGCTTCCTTGTCCCCTCTAAGTGAGCGTACCTAATGGCCCACATTCTTATCTTCAGTCACCCTTTCTCGATGCCCCATTTGGCATTTTGTGTTTGTCCACAGAGAGAGAGAGAGAGAGAGAGAGATGTATTTTGCTTCAAGTAAGCATCGCTTATGGCTTAAGTGAAAAGGACCTCTAATCTTCTCAAATGGTTTTCTTGTTGTGCTTTCATCGTTTGCATCCATTAACTTGAACAAGTAGACAGTGATTTATGTACATATGATACACATATATATATATATATATATATATATACACACACATAAATATGACTTCAAGAGTGAGAATCCATTTTAATGAAACGTGGGAGAATCGTTTAACTTTCTCTCGTGCAAATTGAGATTCCGTTTTTGAAACGAGAAAAACGTGGACCGTTACATGCAACATTATCTCGCATTCATGATCATGTACTACTTGTTTCTCAAACCTGACAAATAAAAAAAGTACTCCTTGCTTATACACAATTCTAAAAAATGTTTAAGCAAGACATGTAAATATAAACTCCCATAGAAGCAAAAGCAATCAACACTTTTATGAAGTGAATCATGTTCTGTCTAACATGGTAATGGTGGGCCCCAACCACATACCTAGCTAGTAGGCTAGCAAGCTAGATTTATTGTATTTGGGTGGAGGAAGCTCCTATAGTTTTGGAATAATTCCAACATTTTGCAGTAGAAAACTTGGTTGGAATGGAATAAACAGTTGAGCATCTCCCATAAATCAAGTCAGCTAGTCAAAAGCTAAAACAAATCTTTGAGCAAAACCATGAAGTCCATTTAATTTTCACATGACAAATTAAGTAGGAGCATGGTCGTTCCCAATTAAAAGGAGAAGACTATACAGTCAATCATTCACGCATCTTATGATTAATTTTTAACTATTAATATATGTATATGTAATGCTCGTATTTCGTCAACGATCAGAAATTGAACTTGTACAAAACCCTTATTGCTAGTCCCTACTAGAATGGTCTATGTACCTATCTTAATTTTGCAAAGTTCTATGAAAGCAAGCAAATGAGCGAACCAAAGCCATAATGCAACCTTGACTTTGTGTGTACATTCCCTATCATCACGCCGACCATGTTACGGCTTTTGGGAGACTGACAGCTCCAAAATTTCTGCCTTTGCATTTTTTCGGATTTTGTCCTCATCTTCCCCAAAATAGCAGGCCTTGGGTTTGCGAACTCAAAATTGGGTCCAAACCCCAATTCTGTTTTGCATTTTGGGTCACATGTAGGGCCCCTCTTGCCACCCTTTTCGATTTGCCAACACCCTTCTACTGATTATCTGTCTATATTTTTGGACCCAGTTGTTGAGCTCTTTAACTTTTTAATTGTTCATGGATAACATTTTTCATGAAACAATTGTCTTGATGCAGAAGAAAGTAATGAACATGAAATTTGCATGTGTGAATTAGCGATAGTTTAAACTATAAGGAGAGAGGGTTTCTCACACACACACTACTAAGATATTATAAGATTCGAATATAAGACTACTGGTGCAAGTGAATGCCATTTTTCTAATGGACTAGACCCTGTTAGCTTAAATGTGTGAATTTTGCGAATGAATTTTTTTATAACCAAAAAATAAAGATAAAGTTTTGAGTGTTTTTTTTGGGTTGTCACAACACAGAAAGCAACTGTTCCAACCTCAGATGGAAAAGCCCAGTATGCTAGTGAGAGCCTGACCAACTAAGAAGTTAAGAAGATGATCAAGTTAGCCCAAATAAGAACCAAAAATCCTGACACGTTGAGGAGCCCCAAAGCCCACATGAGAATTCACAGAAGCTCAACCTCTGACAAAGGATGTCACTGCTATGAAATGTGCGTTCAAACAGAGGTCTTACCAGATTATACTATGAAAGAAAAGGGCTCATGTTCATTGAGGAATTACTATATATGCATTCATGCTTTTGATCCGGGATGAAATGTATTGTCGACAAAGGAGAAAATACTTACCTATTATGTTCCCGTTTCACAATCTCTCCTCTCTCTATTTCTTTCCTTACGTGATTAGTCACGAAAGTGAGATAAAAACGGAACAACAATGAAACTAGGATAGGCAAGTTCTTCCCCGATTATGTGTTCGAGTAAAAGAGCATCAGATTCTAGTCCAAAAAATGAAAGAACAGGACACCAAATTCAACTGAAATAAAAACATTACCACCCAAAGGCATCACATCTGTTCTATGGTGATGCCCCTGTGGTGATGGAAAGCTGAAATATAATATAACTAGAGACAAAAATGAACTCTCACTTAGATTTTCTGAGCAAGCTTACAATTGAAGGCACACCAAAAAAAAAGTGTTACTCTGCTACTGCCAACTAGTACAATTTCTGCAGGACTTTATGCTCCCATAACAGCAAATCTCTACTTTAAAATTTGATGATGGGCATCTGGGATCTTGCATTTCCTTTGAATTAGGGAATAAACTCATAGTGGCAAGAGGCATGACCTGCAAGCAAACATTTTGAAAAATGACTATTATATCCTTACATCGACTATGCAAGTAGCGCACATGTGATCTGCTGTGTATTTTCAGACACATCACAAGCAAACAAGTTTTAGTAGATCCCATGTGAATTATGGTCACATTCTTTTTGGCGTGATCAAAGGACAAAAGAAAAAAGAAAAAAGAAAAAAACTATAGCCTGTCCAACTCAAGCCCAGCTGTTGAAAGCTCCTTCATATGTTCTCTAAAGCAAAAAAATGGCAAATCCAAATCTCACATGGCCAACCCACCAACACTCTCCACCCAAAGAACATGTGATCAATCATGGGTTTATGCTAAAAGTAGAAAATTCTGTGTAAAACACAACGTGATTGTTCATGATTGTTCATGGGTTTATGCTAAAAACAGAGAAATTTTGAAGGACTTACTGGGATCAAGCTCTGTAATGAGAGCAGCAGCCTTGAAGTAGCAAGATCCACCTTTGTGTTTGAACTTCTGAAAATAGCTGTTGAAGGCATAGGAAGCATGGTCTTTGACAGTGTTTGGGAAGTAGCAAGGTTGGTTCACCTGAATTTTGCTGCAATCGGCTCCTCCTCCTCCTCCACAAGCCCAATCCATTGCTGCCTGCAACTCATCATCCGGGGTCTGTTCGTCGGCTACACACCATTGCTCAAACTCCGCACCTGATCAATGTAACGCATTACGCGTACGCATTAAAAACAAGTACTGTATGCTTGCTGGAAAAGAGCATTATTTTGTTCTTACTTATTAGAGAGTCATAATTAGCGAGGAGCAAAAATGTTAGAAGAATTAACATTCTAGTGTTCAGCCTAAATTTGAGTGCTGTAAATTGCTCAGCATGCCTTGCCATATAAGCATGTGAGTTCATTATCTTTAGCATATAAGATAAAAAGCTTATTGTATAACTGATTGTATGTGTGTATGGGCTTGGAACTCAGAAAACTTCTTATGGTTGGTTTGTTTACCTGATTTGTGTGGAGCAAGTGAGAGACAGAGCAGAGCAAGAATTACCCATATCAGAACCGTCGACATATGTGAGAAAGAGAGAGAGAGAGAGAGAGAGGTTTCAGTATGGATGGCCTATCCAAATGAAAATGTCATGGCCCGAGCCACCAATATATAGAATTAGAATGCGAAGTGTAAAACTTTGAAAATTGGTGCTTTTGAAGATCTCTATTATTAATAAATTAGTTGCCAGTGCATCTTGAAGAGGGTTTTGGATCATGGGCGCCGTTTGTTTTCTTGATATTTACGTTTCTTTTTAGACATTATCGTAATATTTACGTTTCTTTTAAATCATTGATTACTATCAAATCGCGGTATTTGTCGCTTGAGCAACCGCATTCAAGGCTAGTTTAGTATTACTGTGCTTTAAAAAAAAACTGTTTTCGCTATGCTGCGAGAATAAACAGCTAGACGTTTGGTTAATTGTATTTGAAAAAGTGTTGTGAAGAGTCAAAGTGTTTGATAAATTTTTATCAGAAGTGCTTTTAGTATGTATGTAACCTAAAAATTAAAAATAAAGGCAAAATTATAGCAATGTTATCTCAAATAAGACCCAACTCTAATTTTCATCTCTCAACCCCAAAAATTGTTATGATTGTCCTTTATTTAGATATTGCATTACACTAGTAGTTTTCCCGTTAATTCTGTTAAATTTTCTGTCAAAATTAAGGACAAATTAAGAAATTCATATAATTTTTTAGGGGCAAATAAGACTCAAATTATTAGATTACAGGGCACTCGCAGAAAGAGAGAGTGGGAAGGAGGAAGGAGACAAAGCCATTTTCTTTTTCTTTTCTTTTTTTTAGGGGTGGGTTTGTGATTTTTGGTAGACCCCAAACGGCAGCAGGTAAGGGACAATGATTCTTTGTGTTGATTAAAAAAAACAAAAAGGGGGGTATTTTGTTGATGGTATATTGTCGTTGTTCTTGTGCTCTGGAGCCTCTATGACCTGGCATTTGGTTCTGTATTGCAGGAAATTGAGAGAGAGGTCTTTATCTGAGGGAGGGGGAAGGGGTAGGGGTAGGGGTAGGGGTAATGGCAGTGGTTGGTTCAGTTGCTGGGTGGGATCATCATTCAGCCTTTTAGAAGAATTTTTATTTATAAAAAAGGCGATTAACATCTCCTTCCAGATCTTGCACCACCCCTCGCTCGGGTTAAGCAAAGTGGTCGAAAAATACGGCAGTTAAGCTCAGCTCGCATCATGTGCTGCTAGTAGTGTTTGTCATTCGGCTAGGTTGGGTTAGCCCGACATAAAATTTTTGGGTTTGGGCCAAGCTTTACGGATTTTTTTAATTTTTCAAGTTGGGCTGAGGTTTCAAATGTCAAGGCCTGAGCTTGTCCATTAGGCCATGCCTAAACAGTCTTGGTGGGTGAGGCCGCCGGAAAGTCTAGACATGTAATAGCGGCATGTACCTTGAGGATCCCAAAAAATATAACACCTAGATCCGAGGGTTATACTCCCAAGATTCCCAAAATACGCTAGGCCTTTTAATTAAATAAAACATGTTAGATCATAGTTGTAAATCGCAACGGAAAATTGGATAGAACCAATAACCTAAAAAGTTATTTTACAAACCGTAAAAATTAAATACACACTAACCATCCAGAATTTATACAGATGAAGGAAATGAACAAGAAGTACACTCAGCAATGAGGAAAGGAAACCACGACCTATCAGAGATGATGAGGTATATGAACCAAAGTGTTGACAAGTTCAAAAACAACACCAAGTGACGCTCTAGGATTGTAATCTACATGAAAAAGTAGAGGTGAGTATCACATACGTTCATCTGCCCAGCATGGGGGCTCTCGACTAGATTTGAAAATAGATAGCGAAATAATAAGCCCAGATCTGATGTATGTCACATCATCATTTAACGGATTTTCTGACAACAAGACAACAAAAGGGAAAAATTAAAGATTAACTATAGTAAACCCCCCAAACTATGGGAGGTCATTGCAAACGCATATCCAATATTTATTGACCTGTTTGACTGATATACAAACTTCACAAAACCTTTCAAAATACCCTATGTGTTTCTTTTTTTTGTGGTTTCAAAATACCCTATGTTAGTCCACTGTTAATAAGTCTGTTAAATTCTGACTTCGCAAACGTGGATCCCATGTCTTTGCTCACCTGGGCTCTATGTAGACCAAAAAATTACTAAAAGATTATTTTATAGAGCCCAGGTGAGCAAAGACATAGAGCCACCCCTCCTTCCCAGCCCCGCCCTCGACCCACCTTTCCCACTCCTGCCACCGTCACCCAAACCTAGCCACCCCTCACCGCTCTGTCTCTCTGTCTCTCTCTACCCACACCAAACAAGAAGACCTACACCAAATGCAGCGAAAATAACAAAAGCCCTTCTCTGCAATTGAGCAGCACCACAAAACCCAGGTGGTGGTCTGGGGCTCTTCGGTGGTGGTCTGGGGCTCTTCTAAAGCCGGACCCAAAGATGCTCAAAAGGACAATAAACTGAAGATATCGGTTCTTTAACAAAAGAAGAGATTGTCCAAACCCACATCAAACTTGTGAATTCCCAATTTCGGTTTTATTCTAAACCCAGATCCCAAATTTGGTTTGAGACAGAGGCGAAGAGATAGAGAAGAAGGCTCGGGGCGGTGGACAGCTGAGATGGACATTTTGAGTTGAGCTCACAGAAGTAGAAATTTTAATATATTTGTTTTTTAAAATTTTAAATTATTTAAAAAGAAAATAATACTTAACTAATTTTTTGGTCTACATTGAGGCGACGTGAGAAAAAAATTAGGAGGGACTCACTATTATACCCAATACAGGGTTTCAAATTATAAAAATACCTTATATAAAATGGACTTCATAAATACACCTAAAGCTCATTTACAACATAACAAAGAAGCTTTTAACTTCTTATAAATTACAAAATTGCTATCGATTTCTTAAAACAGGCCCAACTCAAAATCTCATAAAAAATATCCATAACATTCAATAGGGCTCAAAGTAATTTAATAATCAAAATTAAATTCATTAAAGCCAGTAATTTTTTTTAGTTTAAAAAAAAATTATTTATAGAAAATAAATGATGTAAGGTTTATTTATATCATTAGTACTAAGAACGGGAATATAATTAAATATCTCAAAAATTAATAAGGCTGGAAGATAAGTTACTGACAATATCAACTGAGAAAGCAATTCTGCATTCGCTCTTACTGAGAGTAAAAGAATATGTTACATTTAGTGTACACTGAAGATACCCCTACAACATTATCTTCATTACATAATATCAACAGTAACGTCCTAGAAAGAATTTCAACAAAAACATGCTGCCACAATGCCAGACTAACTCTTAAGTACACAAGTTCTCTAACTCCGATTATCACCATCTTTCGTGTTTTGTTCGATCTCCCTCAATGTGTCGACGAGAAATGTAATGAAATAATGTCAAAGCAGCCATCACCAACTCATCAGAGGTATAAAAAAATGGATGGTTTTGGCATTATAACATTTTTGTTTCTGGCCAACCTACACCTACTCAATGGAGAATGTACAAATTAGTGAGGAAAAAATTCAAGGACAAAGTGGAAGGCACTAATCTACAAACAAAGAGCAGAGGGTTATGTACAGAAGGCCATCAGCTATCTTCTTTTGCTTGGCAGAAGATCGTAAATATTGATCTGATGACAGCCAGTCTCCATGTACACACACATACAAGAACACATTGTCCATGGCCTGATGCTCAGTATTCCTGAAAGAAAAGAAGAAACGAGTTATGGTTATGGTTAAGAAATTTTTTTAAACAGTAAAACATATTTTGATACTGTTTTTTTTATTCTATATTAAACCTTACTGCTCCCATCAGTGAGACTTATAATATAATAAAAAGAGGCATTTGTTGCAATGCATCATGCAGACTTGAGGCATTTGGTGCTTACATGCATGTCCCATGCAACAAACATCATGTAGTGAAGAAAAATGCTGAACAATTACCGCAGTTGGAAGACAGCAAAAATATAGATAGAATTAGTCCCTCAACCAGGTCATGGCAGGGCTGCTAAGCGCGCAGACACTCCAGCCATCAATCCCATAAAAACAGAGATCACTTGGGTGCCATGAAAAACGACATTCACGAATCATATGAGTCGCTCTCTATTAACCGGATTCAAAGAAATGTGCCACTGCTGAATATAACTGTTCTTCTTCGAATGGCTTTGACACATAGTCATCCATCCCACACTTCATGCACTCTTCATTTGAAGCCTGAATCACATCAGCCGTCATAGCCAATATTGGCGTGTGCCAAGTTTGGATGTTGCCGAACATCTCAATTGATGGTTCCTTGGATGTAAGTTTCTCATTTACCTCACTCTCCATACCACGGATCAGCCGAGTTGCTTCAAACCTGCACAATTTTAGACAGTATTAAACTACAATCAATACTCAAAATGGGATTATTATATCGGCAACCAGTCATCATAGATGCTCAATACCTAAAACATTCATTTTTAACCCATTATCTTTTCCCTTCATATAAAATGATCATCTGGCATAGCAATCAATCATATTAATACAAGTGTGAAACAAAAATGTAGAACTCTCTGACCAGGTGAGTGAACAAGATAGTATGAAGTTAAAATCTTAGAGACCCAATAACATAAACACTGTCCAATTCATTAGTACTTGCTAAACTTGAAGAATTAACATAGAAGAAACACCTAATATCAGCCACCAATTGACCAATAAGCAAGAAATTCTGGTTCCAAGTTACCAGCCAATACGCTGAAAGTTGACCTCATTGATTCCAAGTGAGGCTGCCATCAGGTCTATATGCTGTCAACCAGGAAGGGTGGTAGACCTATACTAGGATCCTTAGCTATGTAGGATCTGTACTCTAGCTTCCTTTGCATTCAAAGCTAAAACAAGAATTTGAAAATCAAGAGTGGGCAGATTGATTACCCATCCATTTCTGGCATTTGGAGATCCATAAAGCAAGCATCAAAATTGTGTGGTGGCTTAAGCATTAATAAAGCAGCCTTTCCGCTGTCCACACAGGTGACAATTGCTCCATACTTCTTTAAAGCACCTTCAGCCACTCTTCTGTTAACTGCATTGTCATCCACCACCAAAATTTTCTTCTCTCTCAGCAACTTTCCCAGAGTAGGTTTTTTAAGATTTAGAAGCCTCTTCTTACGACTTCCAAGGGCATCTTGGAAGCAAGCAATTATGACACTTAACCGAAGAGGCTTGATCAATACTTCATCTACAAGACCAGCAGATGTTAGTTCCTTGCGTTCAGTAGGTGTAATGGATGTAGCCAAGAGAAATATCTTCGGAAGGTTTATGAGGGATTCCACGTTGTTGCTTTGCCTGTGCTCTTTAAGCGACTGACTGAATGTAAGACCAGTTTCTTTATCCCAAACATCTTTGTCAATAAGAACCATGGTCAACTGTGAGGAGAGACTGCACGCAAGACAGTTAACAATGCATCAGCAACATCAAACCCCTAGTTGCAAAGTTATTAGTAGAAAATTTACATTATTCAACTCCATAGAAGAAAAATCTTTTTGTCATGTTTATAGTAATTAGATGCTAAAGAAGAATATTAAAACCATGAGTATTCAATGATGTGTTTCAGGACTTAAAAGGCAACTTCAAATATAAACTATAATTAAAAATGTAAAACTTACCTTGTCTTGACAGAATTACATAGATAAGAGCATGCTGATTTCAGACTGGAAGCTGTATCTACAAATATCCCCAACCTCTGCACATGGTATTTTGTGACCTCAGTTCGGATGATACTTTTATCTATTACCAATGCTCTCAGCCCTTGAAATTCTGAGACAGCTGGTTCATACTGTTGCCACTTTGTCTCTAGAGAACTGTTTTCTCCCTTTCCAAAAGATCCAGTAAATGAAAAGGTACTGCCAGTCCCAGGTTCACTCACAAATCCTATCTCCCCACTCATGAGATCTACCAGACGTTTGCTAATGCTCAATCCTATTCCAGTACCGCCATAAGTTCTAGAAGTTGAGCTATCTGCCTGCATAAAAGGTGTGAAAATGCGACTTTGTGCATCAAGAGGAATTCCTACACCAGTATCCTCAACTGTTACTAGTAATTTGATCCTATCAGGTTCCTCCATTGTTGTGCTGCTTAATGCTTTAAAACATTCCCAGCTTTTCCATCTATCAACAACGGGAAAGCCACTCAATGTATTATAAGTTTTGTTTGAGATGTCTCCAACTAAATTCAAGCCTTGTCTTAAAACTTCGTCCATAACATCCGGTGGAGCCCTCACTTCATCTGCCAGATGCACCGAGACAAATATGTGTCCTTTGTCATGGGTGAACTTCAATTTAAACAAACAAACAGACAATTAGCATAACAGTTAAGTAATGAATGAAACCTGTAACATTTTTTATATGCGTAAAATACTATAAATTATGGATGGTTCTAAACATAACCATCCGATTGACCTAAATTTTAGCATAATTCATGGAAACTGCGGACCTAACCACATACAAGTCCCAAATTCCCAATTATATTGTTTTATTTCTGACCTTTAGCATAATACAGAGTTTATTTGCGTTAAAGACCATCATAATCATATCAGTTATATCTTCAAGAGCATCTCAAATAGCACCTTGAAGCCTTTCATTTCAATTTAGGGAAAGAAAAAGGGAAGTTATTTGCAAACAAGTATTAAGAAACTTATCTAACCTTAATTGAATTCCCAACAAGATTTGTAATTATCTGCCGAAGGCGTCCAGGGTCCCCGATGACAACCTCAGGTACCATATTGGAGACATACACAGCCAACTTTTCTCACCCCAAACAAAACCCAAAACCACAAGAGCTGGTATCAGCAACCACAGAAGAAGAAATCAACTAAGAAGGTTATAATTAGTTTTATTTTACCTCAATCCCTTTCTCATTAGATTTCCCAGACAAAAGTGAAAGAACATTATCAAGCACTGAACGCAAATCAAAAGGTACAGTTTCAAGTTCCAGCCTGCCTGATTCGATTTTGGCCTGATCAAGAACCTCATTTATCAGTGATATCAGCTCTCTCCCACTAGCATGAGCAGTCTCAGCATAATCCTGTTGGTTCGGTTTTAGATCAGTGTCCATCAGCATTTGGAGCATACCTGGATTTTGATTGAAATTATTATCAGATTATGCAATCTTCAAAGTTTTGCACAATACTAACTGTTTCACTAAAGAACTTCCCAATTACCTAAAACACCATTCATTGGTGTCCTGATCTCATGGGAAACAGTTGCAAGGAACTGCAAAAGAGACAGATGTTCAGCCACAGGATGATACAGAAACATCGTGTAATATACAAATAAGTGAACAATTGGACAAATTTCTTTTTTCTTTGGGGAGAGGGGACTAAGACTAAATATTTATGAGAAAATCTTCCAGTCATAGGAAATTCTTATTGCTAATAAACAAAATGTACCTGAGATTTGGCCACATCTGCAGCTTCTGCACGAACTTTGAGTTCCATCATCTCACAATAGTCTGCCTCCACTTTTGCTATTGGCTTATGGCCGCATGAAAAATATGACCAACTAGCAAGGTAATGACTAGGACTCCCATTGATGCACTTACTGCTGTCAAAGGAAATGGACGTTTTTGCTTAAACCTGCAACCAAAAGAGAACTGTATTGGATTGGAGAAAAAAAATGCAATTCCACATATTTGGGCTGATAAATAATTGATGTATGAGATCTAACCTGCAGTGCATTTCATGCTTGCGTTGGGGATCACCAAAATCAAGATTGCTAATGTGCAACAGACCAGTATCAATAACATCAGTACCATACATGTTGACCGGAGCAGATGCATTAGTTGTATCATAAACATTCACAACAATTGTTTGCTTGCTGGCAAGTTGGTGCAGGAGCTTCTCCACCAGTGAAGGTACATCATAAGATGCACCTAGATACCTATTTATGAAAGCCCCATATAAAAACCAACTTCAACTTCTAGATACTAACACAAAATAATTCAAAAACACAAATCACGGCCATAAGAAATCAAGAAAAATCCATGGTTACAAATTTACCCCACAGTAGCTTGACTACGATGCTCTGATGTGGCATCTGGAGGCAAATCAGTATCATAGACAGCGAAAGTGAGTACAACTCCCAGGTGATTGGATTTCAATAGCTTAAAGGGGGAAGTCAGTACTCCCTTTGCAGTTGCCCTTGCTCGCAAGATGTTCTCACGGTCTTCCTACATTGTATAATTAGTAACATTTCATATTAGATTATCAGAAAAGTTATTGGATATCAGAATATGCTTCTGCAAGAACAGCTTGTAGATGTAAATCTTTCCAAAGAAAACACAATCTTGGTATCTGCTGATACCATATAGTCGGATCCCAACTGGTACATACACTTCTCAATCAAGAAGGCTGACTACAATTCAAGAATAACTGACCAGTATTAAGTAGGCCCACAAAAACCAAAGAGTCTCGAGCATGCAAACAGGGGCATAAGAATGTCTTTTCAAAACCATATAACAATGCCAAAGTAACAGAATCAAAACATCATTGACCTTGGCACTTAGACACCCTAGTGACATCAATTATCACCATTGTCTTCAAATTTATCCAGAACACACCTAGTCATAATAAATAACTATATACGATGCATACAACTGGAGAAGATGTACTATCTCTGCATTCTTGTAGGTCTCATTCGGCATGAAGGATAGCAATGCTTAGTCTGAGGCATGTGGTACAGTTGAAGTGGCTAAGAAATAAAAAGTTAAAACAAAAGCAGAGAGAGAGAGAGAGAGAGTAATATGGAAGTCCAAAGCTAAAAAAGCAAACCTTTCCTGACATCATGTCAATAGAGACAATATGAGAGACAGTTTCTTGAGAAAATATCACAGGTGCATATTCATCTTGAATAGGGGCAGGGGCCAAGCTTTCTGGAAGAAAATCTTGGACTAGAGTCTGGTCCTCAGTTTCCATTTTTTTTATTGTCCATCCATGTTCCTTCTCAAATTGTTCCCTCTCAGCATGAGTAACTTTTAAAGCATAAGCAACACCACTAGTAAGGGGTCTCTCAAAAGCTGTTCTCTCTGTGTATTCACCAAATGTTTTCTGTGGAAAGAATAATGTACAAGGTTAAACACTTCACAACCGCATAGCATTGCATAAGAGTAAAGTTACTCATTATATTTTCCTTTCCTTGTTCAATAAATATAAATTATTGAATTGCATCCTCAGAGTGCCTACTAAGCTGGGCATATCTAAGGGGATAAATAACTAACCTAAGTTAGATATGAAAAATTACCTGATCAATTGCTGAGGGATGTTTCCCATGGTGAAAGGTGGAGACAAGAATAGCCAAAGCATGAACATGATTCAAGCTCACATTAAACTGATCCTGCAACATCCGTGCTCGTTCATCACACATGTTGGCAAGTGTTTCTTCTCTCCACAAAAAATCTCTTTCATTCAAGTGCCAAAATAACCAACATGACGTAATGACTCCAAATACAAAAAATACTATTAGTAGATTCTTCCTCCACTTTCCAGCAACCTTAGGAGGACTTTGGGCTTGCTGTTGCTGTTTCTCTGGCTGCACCCTCCGAGCCAATGGCTGCTCTTGAACCATTTTCAGTTGCCAAGTAAATGGCCACTCATGATCGAGCTTTTGTTTTTGGTTCCTCCACAATTTCAAAGAAAAACCAGACATTTTGTAGATCAAGATCAATCCAACAAAAGCCCACCAATATTGTATTACCATGATGCAAAGCATCTGAGAATCATCCTTTGCACACTCCACCTGCACCCCTGATCCGAAATTTTTCTAATAAAAGAAAAACAAACAAAACATTTAGTTATTTTGTGCCATCTCTGATGAGTTTTGTTCTTTCCAGAATAGTAACATGGGTACAAATTATTTACAGAGTTTGTACAGAGATAGAAAAGCCATCTCCCACATCTTCACAGACTGGAACACAAGTTTGAATTTTAATATACGTATTAGATACATGATCCTGGCATGGAATCATAGCAACAACTCAAATGGGAAAGAAGTTAAGCAATTGTGACAGGAAGTTCCTTTACGAAATCTATCACAGTGCAATCTCCTCCATTTGATCATCAATTTAGTTTTTTTCTTTTCCAATGTTTTAAAAAAAGACAGTCCAGACTGGCTCGTTAAACCTAATTAACACTTTCGTTTTTTTTTCCTTTGATGTGTTGGGAAAGGGGTTGATCATGATTCACACAAGTAGTCAGTATGCACATCATCTATGGTAACATTGGTATCTGAACTGTAACCATGACACATCCATGGTTCAATCTAAGCATCAAAGTTCTACCTTTTCACAAATCCTATTAGCTGAAATTGTAGACTTCGGAGTGCATGATACAGATTTGTCCTCTAGCAATGACAGGTGAAGCTCCCTGGGGATGTTCTCATCTTGAACCAGGCATTGGTCCCTGGCTTCTACATTTTCTGTGACCCATTTATGACGCTTCTGAAACTCCTGACTATCTGAACATAGCACCTTCAGAGCACAGGTAATGTCATCACTTAACATCATTCCAAGTCCTGGTTCTTTGGTACATTCAAGGGATGCAATCTGCAATACATGGAGACTAATGAGAAGAAGTTGAAAAACGGGGACGTGTGAAAGCTTTTTCTTGTAACTATGTAGTTTTCTCCTCTTGATGCATAGAGACGGCTCAGGAACCTTACATATGATTGCTTAAAGTGACATGTTATCATCTGAACAGGAAAATAAATAGCGAAATCAACTGATCAAGAATCCACTATTCAGTTAATATCCTTGCTACAAAAGTAGAACTATAGCATCGTAACATAATGCTATAACTCATAGTTGATGCACAAATGTTTTGTGTTGCTTTACTTTTCCAGCATAACCTACAGATTTTGGTGGGCTGTTATAGCCTACATATGTGGAGTATTGAAGTACATTAGATTCATCGTTTTATAGCAGCTTAAAGTTCGGGAAAACCCAGTAATTCATTGTAAATCTTAAGGGGTAGAAAGAAGAATACTGAAGTGTACAGAGATACTTAGACCCAAAAAAAGAAGTGTACAGAGATACAGCTAGAAAATCCGTTGATTAAAGAGATTAATCCATTAAGCTATAACGAACATAAGAAGATACACACACCAATTTCTATCTCGTAGGGAATTAAGATTAACAAATTGACTTTACTCCAACTACAGGATATCCAAAAACCAGAAGAGAAAACAATTTCCTGAATTCAGTCTCGTGTCTTCCAAGTATTGCAATTCCTATCTTAATGTGAAATTATTTTACTCTTCACTCCAAAGTCAAACCGTATACAACTGAAAGATCATTTTAAGTGTGAAACTTGTTCTGGAAAGGAACACCATGTTGTACTTTAACACTTTAGCCATGTTCAGCCAAATTGAATAAACACAGTATTTTTTTAAAGAAGAAAAGACTTTTAAAGACACTTACGCAAGCTTGCTTTAAGCACCCTCCACTACAAGGAAACAAAAACAAAAACCAAAAAAAAAAAAAAAAAAAAAAAAAAAAAAAAAAAAAAAATAAAGATAAAGCAAGTGCATTAAGTTTAAGCTATGAATACAGCACCTGATCTGATTCGGAGAATAAGGAAGCTAAAGCAAGAAGCTGGTCCTTGCTGACATTGAAATGCTGCTGCAGGATCCGAGCTTTCCCTTCAGACATGTCTGGAGTCTTCTCTCTCATCCCCAAAGTACCATCATTGAAACCCACGAAAAACCAAATAATTGTAATAAAACCTAAAAGTCCGAGAAGTAGAAGCTTCCTTCTCCATTTTCTGACACAATTAGGCCCATGCAAAGGCTCCGTTGCCTTATTCAACTTGAAATTACCAGGTAAAATGCCATTAAAGCCAGAGACCCTGAAATTCAGATACATGATACCAAAGCACACCTATTTAACTTCACAAAGATCCTTGAAAGCTTGACAGAAACCTTCTTCCAGCTCCAGCAGGACAAGTCATGAAAACCAGACCACCAAGAGAACCACAGACTGAAATTCAAACAGATTTGCTGAAAACCCAGTATAATTTCACCAGAACCAGCTCACTAAACTCGTCAAGAACAATGCTTTATGGCAAACCTTTGACAGAGACTCAACAAAGATGTGAAATTGCATGGAACCCACTTCAGGTTTCTAAAGCCCAACTCTCCAATTAACCACCAAATCCAGAAAAGGTAAGTGGTCCAGCTCCATTTCTCTCTCCAGACCTCCTCTGGTTTTCCACTTTCAAGTTCAATACTAAGTTCATGTCTTTACATCTGTGAAGCATGTAAAACCCATCAAAACCACACCTTTTCTGGAGAACACTGAAGGGTACTACCAATCATGCCAAACAACAAGCTGAAAGAAACCCCTATTATTATTCGGGCAACCTGTGAGGAAATCATTAAGGAGATAAGAGAAAGAATTGGCCTTTTCCTATATCAGGCTCTTTCTACCACCCACACTTCTGTGCAACCAAAAAGAAGCATCCTGAGTGATACATTTTCAAAGAAAAAGCCTGAACCCAAAAATAAAAAGAAAAGAAAAAAAGGATTGGACCGGAGTTGGTTTCTATAGAATTCCAACTGGAATCAATTATCAGAGTGAGAAAAAAAAATACATGTGCCCCTCTTCTTCTTTTCTTTTCTAACCCCACACTCTCTTATTCTCTCTCTTCAGTTTTGGTGTCCAGCATTTGATTTGAGGGGCACATCATTATCTCATCATCTAGTGGGGGAAGGTTAAGCAAAAGCAAACAAAACCCAATATCAAAATTACCCACAATACATAATAACCAGAGCTTTTCCAATTTTCTAATTTTTTTTAATGTTTGATTTATTAATTTTCCTTCATTTTTCTGTTCTGGGCCCCTTTTACTTTTGTAATAGTTGAAAGAGACTGCACCATTCAGTGTTTAAGATGGTGTATCTGCTCCCCTGCTGCAATGCAGGCATACGGACGTACAGGTGTGAGAGAGAGAGAGAAGAGTGCGTTTTTTTATTCAGTAAATATAGGCAATGAAGAGGAGAGGTTTCCACCCAGACTTCAGTTTCTTTCTTCTTTCTTTGCTTCTTATTTTTTTCTTTTCCAGAGAGAAAATGACAGACAACAAAAATAAATTTTGAAATTTAGATCTCAACTAATGTTGGAGTATTGTTTATTTTACTATTGTTTTGTGTTACCACCCACATTATTTGCTGATAAAAAGATATGAAGAAAAATAAATAAATAAATAATTTTTTTGTGTCTCTAGTATTTTACTTCACATAAACAAAAAAATCGGCAATTACTCGGGAACTGAGTTAATGGGTACATGTGTCAAGATTCTTAATCTGCAGTTGTGTTTGGAAGATATATTTAATGATGGGGGCATCTATGAATATGTGTGTCGGCTATATACCTTACCCTCCAATGTCATATAATGGAATAAATTCATTATGAAAATGCACAAGCAATAGGACTAAATTAAAACCAGTGTTTAAAGTAATCACTTAAATTAAAACCATGATTAGTTTGACCTTCATTTGGGAGTTTTTATATTCATGCTCAAGGATTAATAAGTCTCTACATAAATTTGGGACACAACTCGACCATACCAATCCATCAAACTCAAACATTGTACAAACTCTTTCCCCAACTTTTTTTGTCCTTACATTGTACTACTTTTTATTTCAAGTGGGCATACGTTATTTGTCAAGCATTGACCTTTGCCCATTTTACCTTTCTTTTTTCACCTTTGTATTTTTTCTTCTTTTGGCTCCATTGTAAAAATTATTACACTTTCCTAGGCTTAGTTTGATTTGGAATAGAAATTGTTGTAGGCTCATCCATCTTTTTTTTATATAATATATATATCAACAAAATTTTGGATTTTGTAAATCACATGTTCTCTCATAATTAGTATATATGTGTTGATTGTAAAGGATTTATAGCTCAAGTGGTTAAGAGAATTTATCATTGCATTTGATGTCCTAGATTCAATTCTCCCCTCCTCAATATATACAGTTATTCTCTTATCCATATGTCGTGCAGATGTCATTATAAACAGGAATGAAAGCAGAAATGGGTAGAAGAAAATAAATAGCGTCCGCACGATAATAACATCTGGACGTCTGCAAAGGATATGTATTTTATTGATTAAGTGATATATTTCGCATCATTGGGGATGATGGGATGAGCTAGGCAAAGGTAGATTTAAATTTAAATATCCTTGTAAAAAAATAAAATTAAGAGAGAAGAAGAGAGATGCTTGAAGCCACTTTGACATAATGGCATCAAGTGCTCCACTGTTTTTATCTTCTCCACTTTTCTTTTTAACTTGTTAGTGATAGAAACTACAAAGTACATATCCAAGAAATGCCTCATTCTATGGGCCACATTAAGCAACAAGTTTTAAGGCTCAATAATTACTTTATCCAGTTGGACTTTAGACCCACCACTATGTGTATTCTTCTTCCAATGAAGATTTACTTTGATGGCCATTCATTTTAATGATTTTTAACTCCTCATTTCTCACTTTTTTCCTAGGTAAGCTAAACTTATGAGAGAGAGAGATATATATATATATATATATATATTGGACTGTTTTTTAATCATATGACAACTGTTTTTTTATATCATACATTGCACAATGCATTAGCAAAAGAACAAAAAAATGTATTATTATACAAATGGCATATTCTTGTCTAGATTGTAACCTTTTTACTTATTTATGTGGATTTTTAGACTTATCTTGCACCTTAAACAAGAGAGAAAGGGACAACTTCAGATACCAATACAACTTTTAGGTCTTGACCAAAAAAAAAAATACAACTTTTAGGTAAGGCTGATAAGGGTAAAATAAAAAATATATATATATATATCTCTCTTTATTCAGCCATATTTATAGATCACATACAAAATTTTGTTAAATTTGTGGTTAGGAAATCTTGTATGAAATCATTTTAGAGAATTTTTTTTTTCTTTCAAAATTTGCTCATATTATTTCTAATTTTGAATTTCTTTTTATATATGGGTGCTTTTAAAAAAAAAAAAAAAAAAAAAAAAAAAGAAAGGTATTTGCTTTCTCTGGTTGTGCAACCAAACATGGTCTTAGCGGCGTGCTAGGCGCCAAACTCCAAATCCTCGGCTCCGATTTAGAGCCCAGATCCTCGAGAGTCGTGACGAAACTAAGTGGGGGCCACGACAGCTGCTTCTGACAAATTAACGTTACCATCTTTTCCAACTTTTGCCGCACATTATAAAAACCCACAAGAAAAAACCCGGGAAAGAATCTGAGGCCGACACGTCAACAACGTGGGGTCGGCGGGTCCCACTGAACGTTTCTGTTCGGTTATAACTTAAAACCGTATATGTGGCCAAGGCTTACCCGACAGACAAACCCCATTTACTACCCGACAAATCTACAGCACGTTTCGGTTTTTCCCCCCTCTGTTTGAAATTACCAGACAGGCCTCCCTCGTCTCTACTCATTTTGGGGAGACAAAATCTCGTGACTGTTGTTTTCGCGTAAACATGATGGGCAATTTCGTAACTTGGGTTATGAGTATGAGAGTGTCCAAAGCCATGTGTCTGTTGCGCTAAAAACAAATCAGAATAGAAGATGATTTGACTTTGAGTTAAAAATACTTTTTGTATATTTAAAAATATTGAGGCAAGTTTACGCTTTAGTTATGTATTATTATTTTTTAAATGAAAAATATTTCCCTCCTTAGTATGAGCTTGTACATTTCTATCAATATGAGTGTTACATGTATGCAAAAGTTTTTCTTTTTGTTTTTTGATGAATTATTTTTGCATATGTATCAAACTATAATTTGTAGAAAGAATGAGTATCTCCTTACAAGAAAGGAGGTAAGCGGTATTCTTCTTACAAAATTATAGTTATTTTGACTACGTTGTATGAATAGGTAAGAAATCGTATGAGAGAGATAAACATCTAGTTGTATATCACCGCCGATAATAGGTAAGAAAATTGTTTGCTTGGGTTAAGTTGAGCTTGTCGTTTGAGCTCAATCGATGAATTCTGGTAACATGAGCTCACAGAGTTATTTCAAAAGTAAGTTTCGAGTTGAATATGAATTGGAAATTCGGGTTAAGTATGTCGGGTTTATCTTTTAATACGCTTAATTTGTCGTATGCCTTTAGTGTCTCTTTATTCTCATAGTGGATTTTGTGGAATAGGTGTTCTAGAGTTTAAAATGATTGAACTTCTTGAGTGTGTATGTGTATAGCATGAATAAATGTGTGCACTTTTTATCCCATGTCCCACTATTGATAATTTGATAGCAATGGCAATGTCACTTGGGGAAAGCCACATCCCTATGCTTTGCCTTTGGCCAAAAGGAAGCCAAGAGAAGAAGGTAGGTAACACACTTTTTCAAGCATCTCCCTACTTCACCAATAATGGAACCAAACCCAAAAAAAACAGTCAAGAATTTATGAGAAGGGGAAGCTCCACAAGTTTCTTCTTGCTGAGATGGGATGATGCTTAATTAGTTCGGTGTCAGCAGAGAATAATTTTTTTTAGCAATATCCAATTAATGATGCAAATTTGAAAAAAGAAAAAGAAAAGAAAATTTTATATTTTTCTTAGAAAGGTATTTTTGTAGGTCGATCTACTTTTGTGTGGCATGTGATGGCATATGCATGGTGGGGTACACACAAAAAAATTTAACAGTAGCATGAATGTTAATCATGATCCATAATACAAAATTAGGTTATCTTTAAAATTATTTAGACTTTAAGCTAAAAAGATGTCTGAAAGCACTAAAAACAGTATCCACTTTAAATTAAGTCCAGAAAAATCATAGCCGTTGCTTTCTTTGTAGATAGTATAGATAGTAGATAGTATAGGTATAGCTGCACTTTAACGACCACCAAAATATTTATTCAAAGCCCTCCTCTCTTCTCCAACCTCCATGTTTGCTTCAAAAGGTGTGGAATTAATTTAGGTGACCAACAGCTACCAGGGAACATGCTAATTAAGCTTAGAGAATTTTTCTGGTTTTTGTGTGTGTGTGTGTGTGACTTGTACAAAAATTGAAGGGAAGGACCCAATATAGGTGCTTAGGTGAGTGTATTTAATTAAAAAAAATTGTGCTTTTGATGGGTTTTAATTATTTTTCAGGTGGAGAGGGTGATGGCAAAGCTGAATTTGGGTCATGTTCAACATGATGTTACTTGTGTGTGCTTGAGATAACATTAAAATGGTTTGCACCCTTGTACTTGAAGGAAAAATGCAAAAGAAAAGAGACAAATAAGGAT